ATTTTTTGCTTGTTTGAGTGAATGCTGCTGCTATTACTTCTCTGGTATTTCTGCTGTCTGCGTCTTTGGTTTATCATGTCTGGTGGTTGCTTCTTTGGTCTTTGTCTATTCTCTGCTGGTGTCGTTCGTTCTTTGGTTTGTCTATGGTACTGGTGTTACTACTACTGCTGCTATATGGTTTTTCCTGATCTACTGTGTTTGGTGCATGCTCTTTCTCTGGTGTCGCTCGTTCTTTGGTTTTTTCTATGGTGCTGATGTTGCTGCTGCTGCTGCTGCTGCTGCTGCAAATGTAGCCTTTCCTGGTCTACTGTCTTCGGTGCATGATTGTCCTCTGGTCTATCTCTGGTGATTGCTTCTTTGGTCTTTGTCTGGTCTCTGGTGTGGTCCATTTTTTGGTTTTTCTATGGTGCTGGTGTTGCTGGTGTTGCTGCTGTTGCTGCTGTTGCTGCTGTTGCTGCTGCTAATATGGTCTTTCCTGATCTACTGTGTATGGTGCATTTTCGCTCTCTGGTCTATATCCGGTGATTGCGTATACTCTGGTCTATCTACGGTGGTGGTAAGTAGTAAGTATCTTCTTTCTTCTGGCTGCAATGATATAAGACTTCTTTGAACGATTGTATTATTGCTTCCTTTCTCATGATAATGCATTTTATCATGATGTTTACTTTGTTGCGTTTTTCTTCTTCTTTTGTTGGTTGTGTTGCTTTACATCCGACTATTACCATGCTGCATGTTGCTCGTGTATGCATTTTTATTGCAACAACAACGAGCTGTTATTAACGTCTCTGATGTTGTATTTTTTATGCTTTTCTTTGACTCACATTGTGTGAGTATCCCTTTTTTGCCTACGTACTACTATACTCCTATATTAGTATGTTCTTTTCTTCTTTCTATTATTATTATGTTTCTTTGAAGCATACCTTTTTTTACGTTGTGTGGATGTGCCTATCCCTGAAGCTCAACAACACTCTGTCCGAGGCTAGGAGGTGGATAGGCTGCCTCCACTTGGTTATTGCTACTTACTTTAGTGATGATTGAGGGTCTCAATGCCTGAATTTAAAGCTAGGTGGTGTAAGTAAGGCATGCTCTAGCACCTGGGGGAAATTTGATGATAGCTACAGCTATATTGCTATATATTGCGGAGCTTAAAATTTTGCCTCACATCAAAACAGGGGGAAACCCTCGCAAAATTTTTTTTAGGTCAGCGGAGTTTTCAAACGATTTGATTGGCTCAGGGGTTGAGGCATCAAAGGATTATAACTAGCCGATTTCCTATTAGTCTGTTATTTATCATGATATTATGTCTGTAATAAAAGGTTAACCAAATGAATACAATAGAAGTCCTTCTTTATTTAAAGCTATAAAATAAGATGCAATCATTTGATCTAGTATGCATTATACGGTGGTATGTGAGGGATGTTCTTTAAACTTGATATTATATGGGGGGAGGAAAGTCATAAAGGTAGAGTGGTACACTACTACCTTAAGTATTAACAGGAGAACCTAATAATACCAGATGCCCCGCCAAACATACGTTGTTAATGGTTAGTATCCAACATGTTCCAATGTAATGGGTTGCCATCTTTCACGTCATATTAAAGATCTCACACGTACAAAAGTATTTTTTCTCGAGATTTGGGCCATCCAGAATCAAATTTTAGACTATTATTTATGTCAGATCTTTGAAAATAGCATGTTGGTACAACCAAATTTTGCGAAAAGAAGGATGGAGGAGGAGGAGAATTAATTATTGAAATTTAGATTGGACGAGTAGTAGTTGGTAAGAAATAATAGAGAAAATTTGAGTAATGAGGAGGTAGATATATAAGAATCAGATAATTACCAGCAATTGGGAGTAATAGATTGGCAGATGAGGTGTTGCAAAATAATGAATTGAAAATGGCTTGGTGATGTCTTGCTTCGTTGTAGTATGGCAAAGGTTTGAAGCAGCTCTGCAGCGCATTTTAGCAAAAGGGAGGGAATTAGTTTTTTACGGCTCATGTTGATGTTGGAGATTTATATATCAGAGCAATTATATGCCTACATTGAGGGGCTGCTAAACACCACCGTATGAATGGATTTTCAGTCGCTACAAGTAAATATAAAGAAAACAGCCAGTGTTTCGACACTATTATTAGTACAATTACGCATGCCAATTCAACCAGGCTTCATTTCTATTATCAACTGAATTTTGCTCCTTGTGTTTGCTCTACAAAATGAGACCTTGCTCGGATACGTACTGCGATGTTTTCGTTCAGAGATCGATTTTGTAGCTGCCAAATCTGAAGTGCACCATGGCAAAAATACGTCTTTCTTCAGTAATAATAGCACAAAAGCGTCTATACGTTGCATAACTCTATAAAATAAATCCAGGGCGTGTATTGACTAATGTTGGTTAACACACAACAGAAAACCTATATACACCATTACTGTACCAAAAGTTATTAGCGTTTGAGCGATCGTTTTTCGGCAAATTGGCAGGGTTTGACCTATTGGGTGCTGTAAATCCATGAAAAATACGCTAAAGAAGAGAATAAAGTCTCAAACGATAGGTAGTTTTCAAGTTTTTACAATGATTATTTCCATAGGCAAGTTAGTACAGATTTAATTTTTGCTTTCTTTTGAAAACTCTCATAGTTTTCGATAAACAGGCTTGTCTGAATAGAAGCTGTAGATAACTATCAAGAGTGGTACCATTCGATGCGCATTTCAATTCTGTACAAGCTAATAATATGGACTGGGGACAGTGGTTACTATGAAAATGTCTATGATACAGTTCATATCTGAGAGCCAAACGTATTATACGTTGCTTAAGATACGATAAGGATTGAGCATAAGCAGCGACGGGTAGTATATTGGGATGTCTATATTGAGACATTGCAAAGGGGCATGAGCGATGCCATCAAATGACTAATCTATATCCTGGTTCCTGTAGTAGTGTTGTAGCCTATAATATTTTGTCCCTGAAGGCAGATTCCATTTCTGACAAATGCTCTTCTGTCAAATCTACTATGAAGAGCATTCGATTTTAGATCTTCATCTTTGTTCGTTCCTAACTGGTGGTCGATGAGCTTTCACACAGCAAATTTTCGCTAACTGGTTCAAGGTGTATAGTACAATCGCCTCTCATTCAAGCTTGGATTAACATAATAAACATAGTCAGTTCTAACTGTATTTTCTCTGTCTGTATTTCGTTATTCTAAGCAGAAAAAATGCCGATAAAATGCTATAGCTGATTACTATCAATATGATTTTCGTGGACAACAATGCAATGCGTTACTAAAAGCGAGAGTCTTTACGAGCTACTGTGGTAACTAATAGAAGGGTCAATACGTCTATTACAGTAATGCTATTCTCTACTGTAATTAATCGCGTTTGTGAGCAGTAGTTATATTCTAACACAGAGAATACATCACGAAGTTATATGATAGTATTAAAAAGAGGGGATCTAGCACAGTAGAACGAAACATAAAATATAATCAGGTTTTGTCTAGAGCATCTTCTAATAGCTAATTAATGGATCTGCTACTTGTACATAAGTGGCATTATCTAGGGAGGGTATTAAATGATTTTCCCAACGTGGATATCTAAAACCTTTAAACTAGTCGTACCTTTGTTGCTACTAGTAGAATCAAGCAATTATCCAAAGGATAATATACATATTGTTAGAGTCCACAAAAGATGTTATCGTACATTATGGCGACAGCAGTTAATTTGATGAATACGGAGCACGACGATTTTTAGTATCAATATGTGAGGCTTTGCATGGTACAATAGGGAATCAAAATCAAGTTTATTTACAATATCTTGTCTGACGATAACCTGTTATGTCTTATTGAAGCATTGTGTGTCATTTTGCCTACTTGAGCCTTGTATAAAACATTCGTATCGGCAGTAAATATCTCATCTTTCTAAGATGCCTAGTAGCTCATTAGCATTACTCATGAATGCTACGATTAGAGCAACGATGGGAATTGAGGTTTATTAAACAAAGTGCGCATTTTTGAATCTAAAGCAGTTCCGTGTAACAAAATTCATGATGATGTCGAGAATATGTGTACATAAATGGTAGAAAATACTTATTTGGTGATCTTTTTACTTTTATACCAATCAATATAGGGTTGAGGCCCTGCTTCGCTGTAAAAATCAGCAGCAATTTGCTCATAAAGAATGGGAGAAGGTCTAAAGATGTTGATGCTCTAAATACCATAAAGCGATATAGTAATGTGGGCTTTTATGTACTTGCCTACCGGCGATTTGCAATCGTCATCCAATGCAGTAGTTGGAAGGACAATGATGGCCCTTAAAACCATTGATATAATATGAGAGCTAGCATTTATTATTTGATGGTTTGCATAGCATGCGCATGATACAAATTATGATGCGTCAATTCATGGCGTATGAAGGCGGAACTTGCTCTGATTCATATGGAATCCCAATGGCACAGCCAATGAACACGTTCACCTATTTTACACTATACGCATAAAAGCGAGTGGAGCCAAAGGGTAGCCTGAATGTTTCTATTTATACCAAGCAAATCGCCACATGGTGCTATTTGTAACGTATGCAGGAATCTGCAGAAAAGAAAGAGGTTTATCCCAAGCTAACTACAAATATTGTAGGTTTGAGTGTACCGTGATCCAAACAGGGCTTTGTTGTATTTTGTTTGCTGTGATTCCATCAAGACAATGAAATGATTGCCAAAGAAAACACCATCCTATACCCGGGTCTTGATACGACATTTGATATGAAAAGCAACGTTTAGGGAGTGGCATGTAAAATACGGGGAATAATAGCATGTCGAGTTATTTTAGGGGGGGAGATTCACGTTTGAGTCATTGAACTTATTATAAAGAATAGAGAGAATGAAACGAATTTTATGCAACTACTTTATTCGCCAAGGCTTTCCTGCTTTTGTATAAAAACCAGGATTTTCCTCTATAGATTTCCTCATCAATACCCTTTTTATCTTTTTCTTACACATTAAAAGATAAGATAGAATGGCAACAAACTCCCTTACCAGTAGTACTACCAATTCAACACCATGCTCCACACTAGCATGTACCACACTTGCTAATGCTATTCTTGGTGATCTTGACCTCAATGTGGATCCATGCTCTGACTTTTACCAATACACTTGTAAGTGTTTCCTGTTTGCTGGATCATTGTGTGCTAACATCTGTTCAATCTAGGTGGAAGTTGGCTTGCAAAAACCACGATTCCTGACGACAAAGTTTGTAGGTCTACCCATCAGCGACGGATACATGTTGGTATACTCATTACTTTAAACAGCTACAGGAGCATTGGAGAAAGCCAATGATGTCAATACAGAAATCATGCGATCCATCTTGGAGGGAACATACGACGACGTGTATGCCAATCTTGCTGGCTCAGATGAAGGCTTCCACACACAAGATCAGCAAGATGCTGACAAGGAAAACTTCGATACCATGCAGAAATACTATAAAGTGTGTTTGAATGAGAACCGCATCGATTCGTTAGGGCCTACTCCCATTTATCAGGATGTTGCTAATTTAGAAAATGTGCTGTTCCCGGTCGAGAATGATATGCAAATTTTTTCCAACAAGACTACACCATTGCTCAGCCAAACATTGGCTAAACTGAATCAGCTTTCCATCGCTGCACTCAATGTATTTTACATCAACCCTGACGACAAACTTCCAAACATCAATGCCATTCTGGTGGATCAAGTCTCGCTTGGATTGCCCTCAAAGGAGTACTACGAAGTCCCAGAGACATTGGCCAAATACAAGACTGGTTTGAACGATATTCTGACAAAGACTATTGGCACCTATTCCAATCACACGGAGGATGCCAAGTTGCGTGATACGGAAAGCAAAAAGTCCAACTTTACAAGATGGTCCAGCGAGAAAATTGCAGCTGCTGTGGATAGATTCATTGACTTTGAGACTAAATTGGCCAACATATCCCTTAAGGGCGAGGAAATGCGTGATCCTGTCAAGCTGTATAATCCTATCAAAGTGTCTGATTTCCAAGCAAACAACTCATATATTGACTGGACTTCTCTCATCGCAGCTCTCGTTCCCAGCAGCGTTCAACCACCCGACAGTGTTGTCATTCGAGCCACGCCCTACTTTGAAAGGCTCAATGAGTTACTCTCTAGCGGCAATGTCACTGAAAGGACCCTGCAAGAATACTGTATCATCACATTTGTCACTAAAAAAATTTACGCCTTGGACAGCACATCGCGTGAAGCCTCTCGAAAGATGGAGGGTGAGATTTCCAGTGGTACAACAGCAGAGCGTCCTCGTTGGGAAACTTGCACCAACTATGTCAGTAATGCCATCTCGAATTCCATGGCCAGACTCTATGTTCTCAAAAAATTTGGCGGTGAAGCAGAGCGTAAAAAGGTGGAAACCTTTTTGACCAACATTCATGAAACCTGGCTGGATCGTTTGACTGAAATTGACTGGCTTGATAATCAAACTAGAGCCAAAGCTATTGAAAAAGTGTGTATAGGTCAATGTGCTGTTGCAACTGTCAAACTCACTAGTCTATGTAGGTGAATTTGATTAAGCACCAGGTTGCTTACAGTATTGTGTCTCCTGATTTGAGACAGCCCAATGCTATCAAAGAGTACAATGATGGAATTTACATCAATGAAACTAGCTTCTACGATACGGAAGACATCCTCACCACTTGGTACACAAGAAAGCTCTGGGAGAAGGCTGGACAACCCGTCGACCATGATGAATGGCTCATGTCTCCTCAAACCGTGAATGCCTATTATTCTCCCAACAGCAACCAAATAGCCCTGTTGGCAGGCGTCTTAGTTAACCCACTCTACAACACTACACAGCCGGAATACTTGAACTATGGTGGCATTGGTATGGTTGCTGGCCACGAAATCACTGTAAGTTATTACATTCTCGTGCTCTGCATTTGTAAATTCACTCAAATATATGCTTAGCATGCTTTTGATAGCATTGGCAGAAAATACGATGGCAAAGGTATATTGACTGATTGGTGGACAAATGCCACTGCTGCCCAATTTGAAGAAAAGACGAAATGCTTTATTGATCAATACTCTAAATTCACTGTTTCTGGACCCAATAACTCAACTCTTTATGTTAATGGCTTGTTGACTCTGAGTGAAAACTTGGCTGACAATGGTGGCGCATCTATTGCGCTGACTGCCTACAAGAAACTTGCTAAACAAGAGCAGGCATTACCAGGATTGGAGAAATTGTCACCTGAGGCTCTATTTTTCGTCAATCTGGGCCGTTCTTGGTGCAGCAAGCAAAGAGACGAAATTGCTCAACAATCAGTAAGCTGATGATGATAGTGTGATCCGTGATGGAATAGGTTCTAACTATGCTTGTATTGTAGATTTACGTAGATGTACATTCACCCACCACTGCTCGCGTCAATGGCATTGTGCAAAATAGTGCTGAATTTGCAAAGGCATTCAATTGTCCTGCTGGTAGCCCAATGAACCCACAGAACAAGTGTACCATGTGGTAAATTAGCGCCTTTGATTTGTATTTTGATTTGAATTATAATAATAAACGCACACTATGACCCAATAAACCTGATTTTACTCGATTCTGACTAATTAATATGTTGCGCAAAACGGAGCGCATTGACCTCTCGCTATTTGCACTTATATATTGGAATCTGCTGCATGAATGGTTCAGTTACTATATAGCTGGTTCTGACAAGATACACTTTGTGATCAAGCCCAAAAGAAATTCATTAATTCTAGGTTAACTTACCCATCAATGTATCTGCATATATATATATATATATATATAATGATGCCATCAAGTAATCATCCAATTCCTCTTTTAAACCTGTGAAATGATATATGCAATCAATGGACAGACAGCCAATAAAATAAGGAGGCGTTGGTTGCCTCTTGATCATTGACGTTTTGTCTTCAAAGAATTATATATATATATAGCGTTCATTGGGTGTGTAGCATCTTTTCCATTGATGGATTTCTGTCACCCTTTTTATTCATGGATTTAATCACTGTGAACTCATCATGAAATGCCACACTTTGTGTAGTATTGGATCTTGCTATCAACTTGATTCTTGATTGAATTTTTCGATTACGGAGCAAAGCAGAAGAGAGAGAGAGAGAGAGAGTTGGCAAAATGTCTTGACAAATGGCGATGTAAACACTTTCACCTGATTTTCCATCACTTCATCTCCATTCAGCGACTATAAAAGAGCTACATTCTCACTTTTAAAAGCAAACAATCCTCTGTTGACATGTCCAATATATATCAGAGCGTGCAAGAGTCCAATAAAGCAGAAGAGGAGAAGAAGCATCCCGAATGTCGTTATGGGCATCCATCAACAAGCATAGATATTCCATTATCAAACAATAGCAAGGATCTCTTTTTCAAACAAATGTCACCACAATACCAAGAATTTTATAGCGACATCTTGAGTTTTACCAGTGGTATTGCTCCTATATACAAAGAAGTCGCAACATCTACTAACATCACTGCCTATCTGTAGAGAGTAGTTTGATGGATGCGTATCCAATGGATCATGCCTCAATCAACAGCAACAGTTCTGCCCGAGATCAAGTCGATCCGATGAATGATCCTCAGTTTATGGCATTTCTGGTTTCCTTGTCCACCAATGAGCAACCCGTCAGAGCATCACCACGGGGCCCTTCCACGTTCTTCGCACCTGATAGCAATCAACCAAAAGAAGCTGAGGCGACCACAGAAGAAGCAGAGGAAAGCGGATCCAAAGACACCATGAATAGGCAAGCCAAGGATAGGAAAGTCATCAGGAAGAAAGTCTCCAAATCCAACACTCGATTAGGGCAATGCGAGCATCCCAAGCACAGTTTGTATCGACAAGAAAAATACATTTTATCAACACACGGTGTCCTGCCCAGCGATGATGTATCCTCTGCCACATCACTTCAATCCCTGCCAAGACGAGGAAGACCACCTAAAGGATCCAAATCAAGCGAGTTTGTCTATTCCACATCACCCATCTCTACTTTTGCAGATGAAGACGTGGTGAATTCTGCCTCATCGTCTTCACCAACAACACAGCCATCATCGTCCACTATCCATGTGCCCTGTTACCCCATGGTAGAACTCACTGTCAGACCATTGCCAAAGCGATTGGAAGCGGTCGTAGGTAGAGCAAACATCAAGGTGTGCTTGACATGTCTTAAAAGATCAGATATGGATCCTGCTTATCTGCAGGATGCAGCCTATGTTGGGCCCCAAACATTGGCAAGAAGAAAGAAATAAAGCCGTTTTGTGTTTATTTGATAAGTCATGTTGTTGATGATGAAGAAGGTACATCTTGTTGATCCCCATAAATAATCCCCTGAAATTTGGTAATGGGAGGGTGGTAGATGCCACCATGGTTGCCGCTCAAAATGAGCCTTTCCTGACTACCATTTCTTCCGTCATGCTGTGCACTATTATAAGTATAGCTGGATCTTGTCCGTCTACTTGACAGCAATGATATGGTGGATGATCTTCTCGACTGCACATGTCTATCTTCGTCACCCTCCTCCTCTTCTTCTTCTTCTTCTGCTACCTCTTCCTCTGCTTCCTCTGCCAATTCAGGAGGCTGAATCCATTCCCAAGGCACTACGCAGGGAAACATATTGCCCAATTTCGCTGCTCGATTGATCCACGCAGGCATTGTCTTTTGAGTCAGTTTAAAGACAAACTCCTCTGTAAAATGATTGCAGTTTCTCGATAGTAGGTTGTAGGACGGTCCAGTGAATTCGTCTGACAGTTGCAGTAATAGATCTTCAATTTCCTTTTCTGTTAGACTTGTTGTGCCCATATCGAATGTTTGTCTACAAAGCACGTTTAGTCATTTGAGTCCCCTTTTACATGATGATGGCCTATGGTGCATTACTTGAGCGTTAGTTCTGGTATGCCGATCCTCGGCTCAATCACAAACACGCCAGTGACATTGGGAATTTCATGGCCACCAAAGCAATATTCCTTGCCTCCTATCTCTACACCCGAATGAAACACTCCTGTAGCAGGCATTTAGTTTTGTACAAGTGACAACAGTGAAATGATCGTACCCACACCCAGTGCATAATAGCCAAACTGTGTAATGTAGTTTGGTTGTATCTAATCTCGAGTGTCAGCATTGTACATGCATGTTATCAGAGCACACACATCGTATCTACCATATCATACACATTGACATAGACTATTACATCACTTTAGATACCATCCAAGCATCAACAATGACACAATGTATAATTTACCACGCTGCTTTGTAGGATCATTTGGATCTGCATTTCCATTGAAAAGCGTAGATATGAATTCAAACATGATGGTAGTTTTATTTGCGAGTGTGTGTGTGTGTGTGTGTGTGTGTGTGTGGAGAGAGTGTAAGTAAGAAAGAAAGGCAAGAAAAAAGAAGGGTATTTTGCACATGAATTTGGGTTGTGCGCTAAATTCCTACAAATAGAAATCAACGTGTGTGTGTGTTCTTCCTTCAAAATCAACTGTGTAACTGCGGTGCTCCTAAACGAGTCTACCAAAAGGGGGGGGGGGGGTTTCTTTACCAGTTCGATCCTAGATCTGCACATTTGCAGTTGTTGAACTCTCCTTGCATTCCTTATGTCTGATGCCGGGAGAGCGTTGCACCATATAGCCGAAAGTGTGTGTGGGTGAACGATTCTTCTTGTTGCGAGAGAAAAATCTCGATTATTCCGTGTCAGCGTTGTTTTATTATTCCTTATCCCCCGTCAACAAGCCGTTTTAAAGATTAAAAGCCGCAAAAGACACTCTATCAATAAATGAAGAGAGCTTTTTCGGAAGCCTCGTAATCTTTAAAGCAGCCTATTTTTCAATCAGTGAACGTCTTTTGTGCCTACCGTGCGGCCTATCATCATAATCATCGTATTCGTTATAATCATCGTCTTTGTTATCTTCAAGGTGATTATGAGATGGGCGAGCAAAGCGGCTGTTATTGTGTCTGGCGTATGGTTCCTGATGTTGTGGTTGTTGTGGTTGTTGTGGTTGTTGTGGTTGTTGCTGCTGAATCTGGTGCTGCTGGGCCTGATGCTGTTGGGCCTGCTGCTGTTGTTGAAGCTGCGGCAAACGTTGTGCTTCATGATTGATCCCAAGCACTATCAAATGAACTGGTCAATACACATTTCATCCCATAGAAATAGACAAACATACACTCATGAATCTTCCTGGGCTTTCTAGCCCCCTCGCCATTCATATGGTTGCTGCTGCTAGCATTGTTGAAACCACCATCGGCCTCCTTTTGCATCTGTCTTGACTTTAGGTACTCGACTGAATTGTACAGTTCATTCAATACCTACACCCTTATCATGAGCTTCTTTCAAATCAAATTGAAATTTCAAACATACCATCTGTTGACTGTCAACCACAGATCGTAAATACAAAATTTCATTGCAAGTGTAGTCCAATTTTGATTCAAAGTTCTTGGTCGTGTCATGCAACTGGGTAACGAGATACTGGACACTGTCAGCTTCCATAGACGTAGACGCTGAGCTGGAGGAGGATGCCGCTGCAAACTGGCTGGGTGTGTACGGAGATGGTGTGGACGTGCTCGGTGCACTATCTGACACCAGCTCAGGACCATCATCTATCAGCTCCATTGCATTAGAATATCTCATCTGAGGTATCAGTCTGTTTCTTGGCGGCTTTCTGCGTATCTTATGTAGTCTGTCATATCCAGCTTTTGTGAACCAAGGATGCTTAAAGTCCCATCTCTGAACCATGTTATCGTTTTCAAGGCCACTACTGTTGCTGTCACTGTTGTTGTTGACATTGAAGTTGTCATCGTCGTTTTGCTCATTGACTTTGTGAAAGTCATACACTGTCGTCTGTATTAAGCCACCCGTTTGCAAATAACAGGGTTCACAAACACTTACTGTTCAATTGACGTACAAAGCTGGACCAGTTGCAGTGCTTGAAATAACGCGGCAATACATTTCGTGAAAAATCAACATTGTTGAAGACGGTAAACTGGTCCCCAGCGCCTGTCCAAGTAATGAGGTCCTTGGTTTCATCATCGTCCACCATGCTGTGTAGACCAGAAATGAGGATATCGTTCAGATGACTGATCTCATTCGACATATGTGATGTGTTACTTACGAATACAGTTTAGTGATGAAAACGGCATTCCTTGTTGGGGTCACTCGAAAGAACCTTTCCACATAGCCGTGCTTACTTTGTGTCTTTTTACCAGACAGTACGCTCCGATTTCGCTGTGCCATGTTGTGTGTATGTGTGTGTATGTGTGTGTGTGTGTGCTTCAAGAGGGTTGAGTGGAAAAAGAGAGAGATTGAAAAAAGAAGAAAGAGTTACTAATTATATACAGAGAAAAAAAGGAGAAAAAGAAAAATTTCCTTCTCTTCTTGTACAACTGTATTTTTTTTTTTTTTTTTTTCACTTTCTGTCTTTCAATGGGTACAGTCCAAAAAGAGAATGATACGAGTAACTGGAGAGATGGAAAGCAGAAAGGAATGTCGACGGATGCTACTATCTGAAAGCAAAGAGAATTGAAATGAAGGGGTGATTAGCATATTTAGATGCAGTGTGTGTCCATCTCGGTGCATCTGCCATCCTGTTCGAGTCACAATAACAGGGCTCAACATCCAGGATGGAGCGATGATTTCGGTGTGTAACAAGCTTAATCATTGTCGCTCTCTACAGATCTCACTGAGCCACACTTGCATTCAAAGAAAATGGTGGAGAGAAAGGAACGATTTGGAAATAGGAACTATCCATCTGGCGGATCATAAATCTTAATCTCTACTACACCCACATTCGAAGCATCTGTGTTGTGTACACAACTGCCATGCACTTTTTGCCTTCTTTTAGGTAGGATATGGCCTCAGAATGACGTACTGGGGTTTTATAATTCACTATAAAACGCAAACCAGTTTTGCATGATCGCTTTCTGTTTCTCTTTTTTTTTTTATCAATATATATATATATATACTTTAAAAAAATGGCTCTCTATTACGGCATCGTATTTGGTATCTTGACATTTGAGGTAAGTATTGGTAGCAATGCGCTATGGCATGGTGATTGATCCCATGTTTCTTTAGATTCTTCTCTTTTTCTTATTCTTGGTAAGCTAGGATTATATCACCGTGTTGTAAATCAAGGTATTCATTGATATGCTAGTTGCCTATCCCAACCCGCTGGCAAAAACCAGTGTTCCGTTGGTTAGCTACCTCACCTACTGTAAGTATATACGAGTTTAGTGGTGTTGAGTGGGATCCACGCGCGTATACACATGCTCATCGTGTCAATTAGATTGCACATGCTCAATATATCATGAAGATTGTCTTTGTGTAAGTAGTATAGCATGTAACATTCTCAGTACAATAGCATTGACATTCTACCATAGATTCATCTTTGTACTCTTCCTTGGTAAATTTTCAAAGAAACCGGTATTACGTAAATGGGGTTCATGCTAACAACACCCTAGATTCCGTCAACACCCTCCGCGCTTTCTACGAAGTAGTGAACAGTGAAGACGAGAACGGTGGTATTCCAGCTGCAGGTAACTCTGACTTTAGAGCTCAAGTGGGCCAAGCTGCAAAGAAGTTTTACGCTCAAAGAAATTTGTATCTCACTGGATTCACCATCTTGTTATTACTGTAAGTTTCTTGGTTACCAATAGAAAGGACCGTATACTAATGACATACGCACAGCATTTTGAACAAAATCAAGACCATGGCCATGGATTATATTAGACTAGAGGACCAATTCATTGAACTTGAAGGATCTGTAAGTGTTGAATTGCGTAAAACAAGCGTGCATGTACTCAATATCTGCTATTCGCCAAAGGTCTCCAAGGATCCCGCTATCAGAAAGGCAAGCAAGGAAATCGACACCACTCCCATCGAGGATCATGTTACCCGACTCGAACCTGTTGAACAAGAACAGGAAAACAAAAAGGATATCTAATCCAGACATGTATTTAATATGTAAACATCATCCGTGCAAAAATTGCAATGCTAAATAAACAAGCCAAATCATTGGTAATTCACATCTCATTGCGTATACACAACATGTCTCTCTTGTCTAATTCCTTCGTCATTCATCTGCAAAAAGATGAAGCTCCGTGTTAACTTTATTAGCATAAAGCCTATCCGTTCTTCCTCCTAGGCCATCGCAATTATGGCATCATTGGTATACGTTGATATCATACATCACTGTACAACACAAAGGTGCCACATTAGGAGAATTAGCACTTTGAATCGCGCGTTTTGTAGCTTTCAGACTGATTTGAGTACTGAAATGCATATCAATCGATAGCTCTTGTTCTGCATAATCTTACTAATGCAAAAACACGAATCTCCCCAGATGCTCAATTTTTGTTGATTTTGGACGTGCATCCATATGGCACAAATGTCAATTGAAGCAGAATTGCCATTTTCACGTTTAAATTGGTACTTTTTACTATAATACATATAAGCTTAAAAGAATCACAAAGACTTGCTCATTCATCTGAAAATATAAACCAAAGTGTTTTGTATCAATTTTTCTGCGTTTTGACTGGATGTTTGAAAATCAGGTCTCCTTAACTTATCTCCTGTTAGAATCGACAAAATCTCAATCTAAAAATTGCAGCATATAGAGCAGTTAATTTCATGGTAGATTTGTCTCTGTAAAAGTGGTATTTACTATATAAAATGAGAGAAAAAATCCTTCGACTGTTAATTTTTTTTTTTTTCTCTAAAATTGATTTTTCAACAATTTTCAGCAAACCTGCACTATCGGTTTTAAACTCCGTAAACGACTGCTCAAAGCAGCGCAGCATATCATGAAGGCTTGCAGAGTGATGCCTGATGCACAAATATGATTGATATACCATTTGACGATTACCCAAAGTCAATTTAGATGTAGCGCTGACTGTTTCCATCACAAAAAATGCGCTTTTTGACACTTTTTAGCTGCAGATACAGTGAGGTCAGCTATTTAAATATGCCGCTATTCAATCGTCATGTGCAATAAGTAGACTTCCAAATCAACAACTCGACCGTTTAAATTACCTAAATTTGGTCATTTATTTATTTTAAGGTTAGTTGGTACTACATTCTCTCATCATCCTTACATCTATTTATTTGCCTCTTTCTTGGCTGGTTTCTTTTTTTCTTTTATTTCTTTTCACCTCTTTTAATCATTGAATACAAGAAAAAAAATATATATAGCAATGGATGAAGCTGTATTGTTGGGTCAGACCAACCAAAAAGAAATTGCAGAACCTTACAAGCCTGAACTTGAAGAGTACATTGAAAATAAGGATCAAGATGCTTTAATGAGAGTAAGAGGACACAAGATGTTGTAAAATGGATATTAACATGACGATATGTAGTCTTTTACTTTTGTCATAGATCAGAGCACAAAGCCTGATGCTTGCATCACAGGTAAAGATGAAGAATGTACACAAACATAGGACTTATTTTAACATGTTGTATATATATATATATATATATATATATATATATATATAAGAAGACACGGGTATTCATGCTCCATCTTCCAAGATTCCTTCAAAATGGCATCGTAGAAAGTTGGGTGGTTGGCTTCACACTCATCTGGTTCCTGAAGGGTTTAGAACGGCCATTGAAAAGAAATTTGGAAACTTTGTGATCATTCGTTCGGTAAATAGGCTATTTGCGCAAGATCAAAGGGGCGTGTTTTAACCTGACAACATGTTACAGACAGGCGAATTACAGTATGAGGAAATGCCAATCTACACTCGTATTGGCATGCATCTACTTTTTGGTGGTTACTATCGAGGCAAAGGTGTGTACGCCCTCTTTGATGAGACATCGCAGATACTCATCCCATGTGTGTAGTGGACAATTCCAACGTAATGCATGATCTTTTCCTCAAAGAAACAGTTCGACAGGGACAATACTTTACCCAACCTGAATCGGTGAAACAAATACCTAGTTTTGTACAACACTACAACATTGAAATGAATAATTATGTTGTTTCTGATATAAATGAATACAAGAGCTTCAACGACTTTTTTACCAGAGCCATTTTGCCATCGAAAAGACCTATTGCTGAAGCCGACGACCAAGTAAGATGGAGTAGGGTATATACATGCTTATGAGTGCTCATTTCAGGATAGAATATTCTTGTTGCAGCAGCCGATAGCCGCCTGACTGTCTTTAATTCAGTTGATGCTGCTACTACGTTCTGGATCAAGGGAAAAGCGTTTACATTATCCAACCTTTTACAGAACGATGCATTGGCTGAAGAGCTGGAAGGCGGCTCGTTGGCCATCTTCCGTCTTGCACCTCAGGACTATCATCGATACCATGCGCCAGCAAAGGGCACGGTTGAATCCATCAAACCCATTGTTGGCACATACTACACAGGTATGGAATAGCGATATGTGTATAAGATGGGCAAGCAGACCATACTTACAGTCTCTATCATGTATCCAGTGAATCCTTGTACCGTCAATCAAGATTTGAACGTATTCACAGAAAACCATCGTAGCGTTATTACACTGAAGAGCCATCATGGTTTCTCATTTGCCGTTGTTTCCATCGGTGCTCTTTTGGTAGGATCCATCGTGCACACACATGCCAAGGAAGACAAGGATCTGGAAAAGGGTCAAGAGATGGGATACTTTCAATACGGTGGATCCACTGTAATTGCTGTGTTTCCTAAAGATACTGTTGCTTGGGACGAGGATCTCGTAGCCAACTCCAAAAAGTCAATTGAAACTGTAGTTACAATGGGTGAACGTATTGGCACGTTTACTGTTTAATTAAAGACGTTTACTTTTCTAAATGATCCAGCCATTTTTCAATGCCCAAAAGTGGGATTTTGGCAGGGTGGCAGTCGTCATTTTTGTCAACATAAAAGATAACCAAGTTGCGTAGCTTTGTAACCGTGTCTTCGTCGAGCAACTGTGCATCTGCATCTGATTTGACAACAGTCAGCAATGCTTGGCAACCACTCTGCACCAGTGCTTCGCTGTAAAACCTTTGTGTGAGTATGACATGAAGACCAAGTTCAAGTAGATGCCAACTTACTGATTGCGAATATGATCTGTTCTTTTATCGCTCGGGTCAAATGCACAACAACGCATTGAAAAAGCAATGATATCTGATAAAATGGTCTTTTTGTTGAGAAGAGCAATGCTGTCAGGCAGCTTCAACATAGCCACCCACTTGAGAAGATTGCATACTCTCTTACACACAGAGTACCATTGTGAAGGGGAGTTCTTATCACTTTGCTTGTTGGATCTTGTAGGTGGATGATAGTCAGATGGCTCTTCGATAAGTAACAGCCCGCATAGTTGAGTGACAACAAACAGTGGCTTGTTATCGCAAGCAGTGATTTCTAGGTCTATCAAATCCATGTCTCCCATACTCAATCCAAGCACTGCACATGCCTTGTCAAGAATATCAAGCGGCGTGTTAACAGAAAGCAAGTTGAGGAATGCCATGTCAGTCAGGAGAAACGCGAGTCTAATTGAAAGCATTTAGTCCAGCATTTGCAATATCAACTATGGACGAACTTACGTCGATTTAGTGTAGCCAGCACCCACAGTAGATAAAACGGACAATACACAAAGCACTGTATCTCGGGCTTGCGGTGGTGTCTTTTCATATTCAATTGCTTCAGCAATCTCGCGAGGCATGGTAGAATACTTTTGAGCCAAACGAATGATATCACTGGAACTGGCGTGCATTGTCTCTGAGTGTTCTTCTACAACGTAGTACATGGATGGTGGTTTCTTGAAATTGTATAGTGCAAAAACTGATATCAAGTTGTATACAATTGAGTTGGCCAGATTGCGCTTGATTTCCTTGGTCAACTGATCTGCAGCCGTATCAAAAAAAGTAGCTAATCTCTGTATAACTTTTACAATGGTGTAGAGAATGTCGTGGAGCTTTTCTGCAATGCAGATGGGCAAACATAGGCCGAATTGAGTCAGTAATGAAGGAATCGTAAAGTCAGGGTTCTCGGATCGTATGATAATATCTTGGATATCAGACACCAGCAAAGACAAAACCTCTTTGGCGTTGGGTGAGCAAGCACTATCAGCAGGCTTGAGCTTTGAGCAGAACAGACGGGCGAATCCTGGAATTTTTTCGGGCACCAGCATCATGGTTAGCTTTTCAGACTTGCTCTTCTGAGTTTCCTTAAACACATCGCAAAAGAGCAATTTGAGCATACTCAACTACAGAATATACATTGTGTTAATATAAGAAATCCCAATTAGAAGAGGATAGACTACTTGCGTTCGCTTCGAGATGGTATGAATTTTTCGATATGTACATTTGCTGCTGTGGTGCATCGGAACAGCCTACTGACAATGATGGAGGTCTAGGCGGTAAAGCAGATCGACTTTCGCTACTATTTAGCACAGAGGGGGGGATAGTTCTAAGTTCGGAAACAACCATTGGTTCTGATTTGATAGAAAGGGTATTTTGCTGTGTACAAGCTGTAAGTGATTGCATGGATGAGGGCTGACGAATAGCAGGACTTGGATGCTGAGATGACAAGTGAATGGACTCCATTGCATTGGAAATCTCTAAAGATGATGTTGTGGGTGATCTAAAGCTTTGAGAAGGTGTGATAACAGTCTTTCTGATCTTGGATTTGGGGCGAGGAGGGGCTTGAGGAAATACCCGTTTGCTGTTTTGAGTGGAGGATGATGGCTGTGTGGATTTCGATAGCACTTGACGCTTCAAATTGAGATGCTCTAACTCCTAAACATTATGTCTGTATGAGATTGATGGTATTATTTACATGTAATGACAAGCGATACTTGCTTTTGTCCTGAGTACGTCTTGGCTATCTCGCAACTTTTTCTCTAAATCTTTCTTCTCGTGCTCTTTAATGTATAATTTGTGCTTTAGTTCTGCAATGATTCTGGCAGATTCACTCTACAGATCATCTAGTTAGTAGGCTGATTTCTGTCTGTATGTGGGTATAGATCCGTACATCGACTGCTGGTTCCCCTTGAGAATGTCTTTGCTGATGGTGATGATACTGCTGTCGTGCTGGTGGTACTGGTAATGAAGGTGGTGCTTGTTCTGACAATGGTGGCGGTAGTGGTGCGATTGGAAAGGCTGCGTCAGTGGGTTCATCGTCCAAGGCTGGAAATAAAGGAGCTGCTTGAGAAGACACCCATTGCTCTTCAAAGGCCACAGTCATCTCTAGATCTTGTTCATTAAAGCCATCTTCGAAAAAGTCTTCGTCAGCCTCCATTTCACTCATGGCGGTTTTGACAGTTTCTATAAGGAAGAGCGAAAGAGGGATAAATGCAAGAAAAAAGAATGTATTGTCCATTTGCAGTTTTGAGTTTAGCATTGCAAATTCGTGACTGAAAGGGAGATTCGAATGTTTTACACGCGACGATCGTGTTCAATGGTGAATTGGGTTTTAGATTGATAGAGCAGATAGCAATCTGTAAATGAAGCGTTTCGTGTATTGATGCGATCACGCCTATCGGTAAAAGATCATCTTCAACATCCAGGTACGTTTTGAATCGACACGGAAGCATTGCTTTCCAACGACGTTGCAGTGCTTCTCTTGTATTGTATCACTTGCAAAAAGTCATTTTTTGGAATGAATACATGATCCTTTATAAACAAAAAAAAACAACGGGGTCTGCTGTGATTGACGCCAAGTGCGCCTGACATGACGACCAGTGATCAATTAGTATGGCACTGATAGAATGTGAGTAGGGCCACCACTACCTTCAATATCGCTATTATAGCAGTAGCAAATACATTAAGATGTGCTGCTTGTCTAGTGGGTTCATTGCCTTTATTCAAATAGGAGTATAAAGGGTCCTAGATGCAGATTATTTATTGCATCTAATATGACCAGCGTGCCTTACAACCGCCATCATCTCACTGATAAGCTGTCCCATTGTGCTGTGATACTGCGATACAACAGTGCCACTCAACCCAATATTTCCAGCTGAATATTTGGATGCAGCAGTATGCTCAGAATCTAGATTAATGCATACAATGTCTTTGTACCTTTATATCATAACAAAAACGCGTCTGTTGACAAGTAAATGTATATAATACAACCAAATTCGACAGCTTTCAAGCCCTAATATCTTGATACACAGCATCTTCTGGGCCACAGGAATGACGCCAAGCAACTGTACTCGAGTAGCAGTAACTTCCTGACAACTTTGCTCGACTTTTTGGGAATCAAAAAAATATGGTCAAAAATCGACCAAAAAGCATGAGGTACCCCTCATGGTTTTCATCAAAAATTCAAACGATCGCGTTTTTCACCTTGAAAATAAAGACTTTTACTATGGTATATCTTGAATCAAAATGTTTCTATCGATTCAACGTAACCCTTGAAATCATCTTTGTGGAACGTTGATATGTAAAATTTCAACTTTTTGGCCAGGAACCTTTTTTCATATTTTCGTGAATTGCTCAATGCATTTATTCAAAACATCTGCGTTACGTTGTACCATTAGATGCGCCTTGAAAAGTACTCCAAGGAAGCTTAAAGAAGCATTGAGTGATTATCATGATTTACATAGTCGAACCTGCAAAAATAGTTCAATCGAGTCGAAAATTATCATGATTTAGCCAATCTGGACGCAGATTATTAGTCTGGGTTTGAATTAATTTTGGCTGGTGGGGCTAGTTAATCATATATGAGCCAGGTCTGACAGATGCCAGGCAACTCAGTTTCTATACTAGGGCTGTAAAAGTGTCTAGGGACTGAACATTTATTATATTATAATAGGAAGCTACGATCATACAAGCTTTGTTGACTGCATGATCCCCTGTTACACATTGCGACCGTCTAGTGACATGATGGATCCAGGCAACTAATTTTAAATGTGAATCATAGTGCAGCATTTAGATGCCTGTTTGCCATCGCAGCACTTTGCTATATGCCAACAGGTCCAAAGGGCATAGTGAAGAATACTGGCGAAGGCAAGATGGATCTACTAGGCCACTCTAGCCCGATATATAATAGGTGATTTTCCAAGATCAGATAAATCACAGGATGCTTGAATAAAAGTCAAATTCAAGCGCCCTTCATCAACTATAGCAAAGGCCTCTCTCTTTCTCTCTTGGTACATCACCACAATGGCGGTCTCTCACAACAGCATGTTCATGACCGTGGTTGCCATGAATACGCAGCCTTTCATGCTCTAGGAAAGTGCTAAAATGTATGCTGAATGACTACATTAGAATAAAAACACAAAAAGAGGCATCATTACATTCAAATCCAAAGAAAAAAAGTTTTCAGTCTACCCAATGAGATTCTCTGTCTGCGTGTGTGTGTCTGTCTCAATCTTCATTTTCAAATTTGACCAAGGCTTTTCTGTTTCCTTTTTCTTTTGCTTTCTTTCACATTACAAACATTATGGATTCATCGGATGTACTTGGCTTTGTAGCAAACCTAACAGCTACGTTGGCCGAGGACTCACCAGAGCATAAACCAGCACCCACTCTCACCTGGGTAAATGTAGCTATTGCTTCATCATTTATCCTCATCAATGGTTTGTTTTACATGAATTACATGACAATGATAAGCTTGATGTTTATTCTCGGCATGATGATTAGGTTTCATCTCGCTTATACTGGGCTTGCAATTGGAAAAGACACTGATCATTGCTGCTGTTCGCTGTTTGGTTCAACTAACGTTGATGGTAAGCGGGGCGGTGGAGGTTGTTGCAATGCTTGATATTGACGTCGAAATGATAGGGCTTCATCTTGGAAGATGTGTTCAAAACAAGACACCCAGCACTTGTGATGCTCATGACATGTAACATTCACTAGATGGAAATCACTGCTGTATACATGAAACTCACGGTCTCTTCTGCTAGTTGTGTTAATCTTCCTTGGAGCCTATGAAACAGTATACAACAAATCCAAACAAACATATAAGGGCATGGTAAGACGTTTTCGCTCGTTTCAGACCTACTTGATCTCTGTATATTGACCATCATGCAACACAAAGTTTATTTCAGTCTTGCTTTCATCAGGCGTTGCCACCTTAGTCGTTGGTATTGTAGGCACTCGTTTTGCCATGAAGCAAACACCGTTTTGGATCCCTGAGATTTTCATTCCAACCATGGGTATGCTATTGGGTAATGCTATGAGTGGTATGGCTGTTGCCCTGAGCAGCTGTTTGTCCAGTGTGGGCACTCGCAAAGAGCAAATTGAAACATACCTTGCTTTCGGTGCAAGCCGTTGGGAAGCGGGTCAGTCCATTGCCATTGAGGCCGTTCGACTCTCCATGCTGCCAACTATCAACCAAATGTCTGTCATTGGTTTGATTGCCATCCCTGGTATGATGACAGGTCAAATTTTGGGTGGTGCTCCTGTGAGTAATGCTGTGAAATACCAACAAATCATCATGTTCTTGATTTCTGCAAGCACAGCTTTGGGCGTCTTGAGTGCCGTTGTGGTAAGTCCTACCGTATTGGTATTCTCGCTAATTAGACTAACCCTGTTTGATCCAGTCGTGCATTCGAGTTGTCATTGATAGCCGTCATAGATTAAGACCAGAGAAGATCATCAACGGAAGAGCCAGTTTGTTTCAAGATATTAAGCAGGTGTTGACCCATGTTTGGGAAGGACTGGTGTACGTATTTTGCTGTTTCTGCTGTAGAGTGCAAAGGAAGAAGCAAGATGATGTTGACAACGGTCCTTCTTCATCATCTCTTCGAAGAAGTGCAGCAGAGGAAGATGACGAAGATGATGCAGATGTTGATCAACGTAGACCTTTACTGAATTAGATTCTTTCATTTATTTATTCTCGCTTGTTCTTGTATATTTCTTATCCCCCCCCCCCCACCTCACTCTATTTTCATTACATTGATTTCATACGTTACCATTTTATACATGAATTTTCTTCATACAAGCATCAATAAACGAAGGATGTTGGCTCAAAAATTTGTTAGAAATAAGCCTTTGATTTTATAACTATAGTATGTGCAAGTGCATCTTGTTGGATGGCAACAAAGAGGAAACATGAAGCGTATGAAAGTAATGGTTGCGAGGATGAATTAAATGTGCTTTATGGTACAGTATGGCAAGTTTTATATATCAAACAACCTAGTGTATGCGATGCAGACGGCCTAAATAAATATACTGAAAGGCAACTTCTTAATTGCAGACAGTAGCTGCCAGAACAGCACCAGAAGACAAATGCTCTCACCACCTAGCAGTTACTTTCTGCTGATACCTTTGCTCCCCAGCTGTCTGGGATCATGAACGCATCTACCAAAATTGATGCGAATCATGAAATCACCAATAATGATGCTCTTGCTTTGTAACCGATGCTTTTCCAACTTGTCGTATCCAGAAGGGGATTGTGAATTGAAAGTGTCTACTGACGATCAACAGATTTGTGATGATTGCCACAGCATTTTATTATTCAGATTTTTTAGTAAAATAGGTATCGCCCAGGTCAAGGTTGGTAAGAGCACTACTGCTGGCCTTTGAGCTTGTTGTTGTTGAAGTACTGCCCTTTGGAAACAACTGAGGGCTAATAGGAATGATAGGACTCATGGGATCTCTGACGATTTCACCACTAGCACCGACAGCAGGCAGTTTCAATGAAGGCATCAGCTTGCGAATCGATGTAGATTTCTTGACTTTGGGTCTATGCGTATCCACAGCGTCAATGTCAACTATGCAAAATAGCAAAGAAAAGGTGAGTGGCTTCCGTTCCAAACGTCTAGCTGAACATACCTTTGAATCGCTTTTCTTCGCATCCATATGCTTTTGGTGTTAATTCAATGACGGTATGGAGAGGGATCTTGATGTATGGCAAATCTTCATGACTATAGTTCATGAAGTAGGCATAAATACATCTCAGGATGGCTTGATGGCCAATGATCAAGATGTTTTCATGTCTCTCTAGTTCCATAATAACAGGCTCCAGTCTGAGCACAACATCGCCGTAAGATTCTCCTCCTCTATACCTGTAGTTGAACTTGTCTTCATCGCGGTTTGCGAAATCTTCTGGATATTTTTGCTAATAAAGGAGAGGTGTCACTGTGTCAGTTTTGTGTTGACACCATTGCCAGATCTCAATGTAGACTGTTACCTCAATCTCTTCATATGTCATTCCATCACAGACACCAGCATCCAGCTCATCTAATGCTTTCCACTGTAGCTTTGGATAGTCTAATTTCTCGCTGGTTTCAATTGTTCTCTTCATGGTGGATGTCCACACAGTCAAATCCTGATCGCCCAGGTTTGTCTTTATCAAGTCAGGCAGCTTCACAGCATACAAGCGACCTCGTTCAGACAAGTTGGAGTCACCGCCAATTTTACCTGCGAGATTGTATTGCGATTCACCGTGTCGACTAAAGTAAATCTTTCTGGGTGCGATATGGAGATTCATCAGATAGTAGACAATTCTTGACTCTAGATAGCCTTGGATCTGGTTGATAATGTTCTGGCTGCCGACATTGATCAGCTTGATGTAAGTCAGTTCTTGTTCGGTGATCGTTTCGTATTGTTCCTTGTAGTGATCGATACGAGCTCTGAAATCAACGGCAGCTTCGTCAGGATCCATTTTAGCGTAATCGGGGGATGATAATTTGACGTCTTTGATATTTGCTAAAATCAACTCCTCGTCTTGGCAGATGGATTCGATGAACAGCACTTGAATATCCTCGCTTCCCAGCTTTTCACACAACCATCGACGTCTTGCAGTCGTGCTGTTTGTGGCATCGTAGATGGCAACGATGCCCTGATCATCTCGGAACCATCTCATCATGTCCTCCAATGCTGCTGCTGCTGCTTCTCGTCTCTGTTGCTCGCCCAATGTATTGTGTGGATCAAAGAATGTGTGGGGTAAATTGGCACCATGCAATTGGCGGCGGTAATTGCCAACATTGAATACCTTTGTCTTGATGCCCAACCAGGTGAGGTATCTGCAAACTTTAAAAGAGGGTGAGATTTCTTATTTCTTGAGGGGCCATGGATTGCGATGTATACCCTTTTGCGAAATGTACGTTTTGCCTCTTGCAGGCAAGCCAACCATCTATAAGGAATCCATGTGTCAGGTCTACGTTTGAAACACTAGGGGGGGGGGGGTAATAAAGCAGCAAGTAGAATATTTACAACACAGGCAATTTTTAAATCTAAGATGGTGTACCTCTTGAATGAGTAATTGCCCTTATAGAATCAGAGTGCGTGTGCAAACCCTACTTACTTGAGCTCATCTTGGCGTATTAGAACAAGAAACGGGACGAAACAATTAAAAAGAAAGAGAAAAGATAAAGAAACAATCCTGTATTAGGCATGCTATAAATTTAAAACTACAATGGATACACTAAAAAAAAAAAAAAATGATTTTTGAGCCAATCAAAAGCTACATGATCACTTCATCCAAGGGAGATTCTGTAATGATGTTTTCATTTTGAGTGCCTAGTCTTGGTAAGCGAACATAGGCGTCTGTGCCATAGCCCTCCATAGTGACAATGTTGATATCACCTCCCCAATACTCTGCATACACACGACTCATGGGTAGTCCAATTCCCAATCTCATCACCATCTTGTCATGCTCGTTCAGCTTGGCCTCCAATTGATCGACATGCTCCATGTTGCCAAACCGCTTGTAATTGCCGTACGACCACAAATCCTTGTACACCTGTTTGCTCATGCCTCCTCCTTGATCCGATATGCGAAACAAGACATCTTGCTCATTGGAGCAGAGAGTTACTCTGATCTCTTTGGGTATCGTGTGTGCTGTTGCCGAATAGGGTTGTGTCGCATGTCGAAATGCATTGGACAAAAGCTGGAATATAATGTACTCTACGTGATCTGATAGGTACGTGAATTCTGTGTCTGTGCCGTTCAGTTGAATCTTGGGTAGCACCATCGCTGGCTCTGAGGGATCTTGCTGCTGCTGCAAGTAAGACGCATGTGCTTGGACCAAATGGATGCACTTAGTTAATACATTGTGCGAGGAGCAGACATTGAATATGGATTTCTTCCTGTTGGATAGCACTAGATGGTGTTCCGTCAAAACGCGTCTTGAGATACGAGACCGTAGCGTAGCATTCATGAACCGATCCAGCCTATCCATCGACATGATCCCATCATGCTGTTGCTCACATTCATTGATGCCTTTTGCCAATTGTGGTATTATCACCAAATGGGCATCCAGCGACTCCTGTAGCAGATCACAAAACGCCTCATTTTGCTGCCTGGTTGTAATCTCTGGTACTTTGCGGATGCGTTCAAATGCTTGCCAATAGAGATCATATACGTTTTCAATGTGTGGATTGGTGCCCAGAATGTACGGTAGTTTTTGAAATTCTCGGATGCGATGAGCAATGCGAATGGGCAGCTCTGTTCGCACGTAGTTTGCTGATTTCAATAGACGCTCTGTGTTGATGTGTCGTTCATAAAAGATCAACTGTCTTAATGTAAGAGGAGTCGGACTTTGCGAGTAGTATGTATCCAAGGTCTTGTTCATGTAGAAATGCTGGCCATGCGATGGTGCTTGTATTGCAGGTGGTGTTGGATGCTGCGGTGAGATACTGGCTGCCAGTGTGGAGAGTCTCCTTCTTGAGCAAGATGTCAGTAGGCTCATGTTTTGTGTAGGTAAGGAAGAAAGGAAAGATAGAAAAAGGTCCTGAGAAAATACAATGTGAATTTTGTAAGCAGTTTTAACCTTTCCTTTGCATGCCTACATATGCTCTGTTACGGTCACATTCACATTTTGTACCACTCCCTCCTTGATAATCCCCCCTCCCCCGTTTGTTATTCATTCATTTCAGAATTGAGTGCAAGTAGAGGCTGCATATAGCCTACAAGGGCGCATGATGATGCACCACCATGGCACAGAGATTATTTCCAAATTGAAACAAGTTGCTTTTTGTTAGTGACTTATGCGTGCTAGTGGGTTAATGCCGAATGATAGCCAGTCTTTTGTATGACATGAAATTGCTCACAAATCAACATCAGATGCAAATCAGCCAATCCCCATGAGCCATCGCCGTCGTTGATCCAGACTTGATTGAGCAGAGTTGGCCACTGCTAACTGCGAAACAAAGGACAGGTGCTATTCCAATGGCCATGGTGTATGTGCCTACATCCTTCTCTTTGAAAATCATGTGCAAAAAGGCTAAATTTTTTTGTTTATTTACGATTAGATGAGGGTCATTTAAGGCAGGTGATATGTTTTGTGATTACTTTATACAATGAATGAAGAGAGAAAGAGGAGGTGGAAATTTACAAAATGAAAAGGGGGAGTTTTTAAGCATAAGATGCCAATGGAGAGGGTTTGTGGACCGGCTGATACGCGGGCGGTGGTGGACAAGCCAGTGTATTGCTCTCCTCTTGACAAAGCTTCTTGGTGACAGATTCGATATCAGTAACAGTCTTGTAAGAGTAGGGATTGTTGAAGCTTCTCTGATCTGTTTCGATGCGGTATTGACGGCCCATCTTCTTGATCTTACCAGTGTAAATGCACATGATGAGAATGGCTATTAATGGCAAATAAACAACAAAGGATTCTAGCACAATCCACAGCGTGATGGAGATGGTCATTGGATCATCATCAAGGCAGTAGATCCAGGAAAGTGCAGTCATTCCAGCCATGCAGACCGAGAACAAGATGGGAGTAACCTTCAAAAAGAGCATATCATCTCGATTGCGACGAATCAGACGGACATGGTTTGTTGATTTACTATACGACATGATAACCAACGTGTTGAAACACACAACCAGGAGCATCAAAGTGACGCACACAGCGCCGCCAATCTTCTTTTGGGTGATGGATGTAGCAGCTGCCAAGAGAATGACAGAAGCCATGGCCAGCAACGTGTACAGCGCCAGTGACACGAAGCTTGTATAGTAGGTCCACGGTCTGGCAGGATGCATTTTGGTGCTAGGCTTTCTTTTCTCGGGTTCACGCAGATAGAGACTTCCCCAATGATCACGGTTATGGATGGCAGTAGCGATATGACGGATAAAGATCAATTGCGCCTCCATGATGCCCACGAACACCAGCACGGAAGCAGCAGGCAACAAGCTCAATACCAAGCTTTTGCTGACCCAATCCACAGGCACGCTTGTTTCACCGTAATGAGCAGCCAAAAGACAAATATTTCCAATGGACATCAGCAGGCCAAATAGTGCAAACGGAATCAACAAAATATTGTGTCGACATCTGCATGTCAGAATGATGGAGAAGAATAAAAACAGGGCAGTGTAAACACACCAGGCATTTTCTTGAGCACTGAGCATGGTGTATGGTGGAAAAAAACAAGTGAGATAAGAGAACTCTTTTGATATAAATCCATTCTTTTTATATATGCTTGAAATCTTGATTTAGTGCTATTCATAAAAACATTTGACCTTTTTATAGAAACGTTTTGTAGACACAAGCCAAGCCGCAAATTTGCCTTTTAAAGATGTTGCTATAAATACAATGCGGCTCTTTGCTTCTTAGATCAGAAGTTCAGAAGAGCTAATGATATCACTGGTGGATTCCTTGGTGCCTTTGCGGGGATCATGTAAACATTGGGAGGACTTACATGGTCATCACCAGCGTCAATCTTGAGTAAAAAGCACATTTCCTTCCTGGCTGATGACAGCAGGTAAAACAAGATCCTCCAGCGGTACTCGATGGCGTTTCAGTCATCATCGCTCGACTGAGGCGGGATGCTGAGAGAAAAGGCGGTTGATGGAAGTTGCTACAAGACAGAACCATACTCTGCACAAGACCTAATGTCTTGGCCAGCTTACATATTAAGCGGTTTCAATCAGGGATGCACCAACGACTTTGTATATGTCACTTATATTGACAACACTTGGTCAGAAATGTCTGATAGACCAGCACTCTTCTTGATACATGCTCGTAGAGAGTGCATTGGTGTAGTCAAATGTCAAACTATCGAAAGCATCTCTGTTACTGAGCAAGTCGCTTCTCATAACTATTTGCTCTTGCATTTTAGTCCGAGTCAAACACCATGTCATGGTATTGGGAATGGTAAATGCCCTCTCAATCAACAAGTGTAACAAAGGACAAATCGTTATGCTGATTTTATTCTCAGATCTAAAAAAGATGATATACACCTTTTGCCAAAATGATGTCGCACTAACAAAAATTTAAGTTGTCGCACAATTTTAAAAAAAAGAGTCGATTTAAGTCGATTCGATCACGAATGTCGTTGCCGCTTCAACCTCAGAGCGGGGGCCAAATCGCTTTGAGGTCGCTCAGTAGCGGATCAGCTGCAGGCTTCATCATTGCAGCAGCAGATGATGCAGTATTCTATTACGCATGACAATAAATCGAAAATGATTTCGTCGAGACCTCAACTTGCTTCATAAAAGACAACCATTATATATTGCCAAAGATATGGATACGTTTTTTGCCACTACATACGATGAGCAATAAATGTCAATGATTCAGACTAGGAAATATATTTTGATGTATACATAGAAAGAATAGTACAACTATAAAGATAAAAAAATACAGTCGTAGCAACTCAACTAACAAATTGCTCTATCTCAAAGATAAACAAATGGCAACTGTCTACTTGATCAGCTTCATTCTTTTGTCATTGAAAGCTCGAAATTTCTGATACAAGAAATTCTTGTTCAGTAATGTTAATTCATTGTTGGTGGCATCTCTCTCTTCATCGCCGTAAATGAATTGCAGCATCCATTTTTTGAATTGGCCAATATTCATGAAATAATCTGATTTGACAGTTATTTTATACGAGCGTCTTGTTTGATCAATGCAAGACAAAAATCGACCGCTGTTGAAGTTTTCCTGATCCAAAAGGGTAAAAGATCAAGGTGGTTAACAAATCGAAATTGTGTCAGAACCTTATAAAGGTCATGAAAATAGACTGAAGGATTGGAAATCTGTAAATGTTCAACCTGATGCACAAGGAAGCTGCTTTGGCGCTGGTCGTTCAGGTCAACAGCTAGGTAAATATCGCTTCTGATCATTTTCACAATATCGTAAGACTTTTTGCTTGTCATTGCCAACTGAAATCTGTCTTGAAAATTCAAGAAGGAGCAAATTTGCTCCCAAATTTCTTCTGGAAAACTGATCAACAATGTCGTAGCAACCATGGTAATATACGAAATGAAGAAAGAGAGAGATTCACCATATGCTGGTATGGCAACCCATTATCAATTGACACTGTTGTTTACTTGCAATGAACTCTATTTCCAGCACAGAAGTTTTTATATGCTCGTGTCACCTTGTTTCGAAACATTTGCCCCCTATTTTCTTTTCAAAATACATGCCGTACTCGAGGTAAGAGAAGAAGCAATGCTGATGAATCAAGCAGCATCTACTAAATGTAATCTTATTTGTAGTCTTCCTTTGCCATCACGGGTAAGAACTGAACCAAATGATACTCTCACTGCCTTCAATTTGTAGGGAGTTGCTTGGTTATGAGTCATCAGATTCTGCCTTCGTATCCTTTGGGTACCTCTCCCTTCGGGTTTCCATGCTTGAGTTGCTCCTGGGGAGTTGGGGCGGTAGTGCTGCCAAGTGAACTTGTTCCGGAGGTGCCATTCACAAGCGAATGTATAAATCGCCTCACCGTGGTGAAAGCCACAATTATCACTTTTTGGGATTAGAGCGCTCTCACCTTCTCGAGGTTAATCCTGTCAGTATCAAATCATTCTATGATTTGAGAAGCTAAGAAGAGCAACGTTTGACTACTAGTCTCATTGATTATGACTGAAAGCATATTTAAATAAATGGTTTTGATATTATGAATGTTATTTGTCATTCAATCCTTGGTCAATTTTTTTTTTCAATTTCACTACATTATTGCCGTCTAAAATTGCTGCAAAAATGGGCTACATTGATTTCAAAGATCAGAGTATGCATTTATATTGTAGTCATTTTTTTAAGGGACTCTGCGCGAGTCCAGTTGCTAGAGGAAAGAACAAATCTAAGAAATGCATAAACAAAAGTCGCACCTAATGTGGTTGAGGTGTACAGGATGCTTAGTATGCTCAACAAGCCCAATGCCTCTCTGACAGCTGTCAGGCCATGGAGCTATCCTTGCCACCTATATCTTCTCTTCCTCCAAAACTATAAAGCTTTTTGCAAATGATCGCTTCGGCAGGGTTGATTTTGACATTGTTGACGCAGATATTTTTATTATAGTAGCTCTTTGATAACCAGTACAGAAGGATAATATTGGAAGATCACTGTGAGTTTTGTCGTCTTTTCTCATATTCATCAGTCTCTAATACTTTACGCTATTATATATTACTTTAGATATCAAACACGATCAAATACTGAATCAGTAGCGTCCAATATACTGACTGTTGCTGACGGACGTCGATAAAGCGACAAGCCTATAAAGTCAATCACATGCATTTGTTTATTTTGACAGGGAAAACATACCATGCTTTTTTTTACAAACATCATATGTGGCATAGCCTATGCTTGACAGATACGTACCTCCAACATAAAGACTCCTTTAAGCCGGAAGAAAATGCATACTACATACGTTGACAGAGAGCATGAAGGCAAATAAGACCTTATACAGTACAACAGCATCATGTATTGACAAAAAGTTGGGGGGGGGGTGCCGACTATGCCGCTTCTTGAGTCATGGTGATGATGGAAAGTAGTTCAAAGAGGACACCAATAAGGAGCTAGATCAAAAGTGGCACCTGCACTGATCTCTTCTTGATAGGATGGCTTTTGCTCGGATTTGCCTCTTCCTTCTCGTTTTGTAAAGACCGTTTCTTATATGAAACAGATCAGACAGATCAAGGAGGGGATAATATACTAGTTCCAGGGACCTAAAACAGTGTGAAACACATTTGGAGTATAAACATACTACAGCAAGTCTTTTTATATATAGACCTTAGCAAGAAAAGGTCATTGCGTGAGCCAAATGACACATTCAAGAATAAATACTCGGCATGATTTCATGCATTTACCACTTGCCATTACAGATTTAGGTTACTAATGAGAGTGCACGAGCCTTTCAGTGCACAAGGCTCTCAAGAATTAATGGACATCAAAGTCCTTGGGAATGCCTTCGTTCAGAATATACAAGTAAAGAGGGAATACGTCTGTTTTGATACTCTTTTCCATCAGCAAGCGAGAAAAGATGTCAGGCGGAATCTTGACAGATTCACCTAAATCCAGTAGTGCTTGACGATTTCGAACAAAGTGGGAGCGATAGACGCTTACGTAAGCGTCGTCAGGCTGTTGTAAGCCGTTGTACAGCGCAGATGCAGCATGGAAGAAGGTCTATTTAAGAGAGTGTGAGCTGTTTGTGTCAAGGAGTATATGGGCACCGTTTACCTGAAGCAAACGAATCACAAGCAAGGCTTTAAAACTATCCAAACCATCGTATTCTCTTTCTGAAGGATCCAGGGTGTCTTGTTCCTCTTCAGCATCAGATAGTGCAGTTGCGGGGGTGTTTGTGCTTGCAAATATGTCACCCTCCTCATCATCATCAAATAAGCCTTTGGAAGACGACGCTGGCTTCTTGGTAGCGAATATGTCGTTGTCATCGTCATCAAACAGATTACTGGCATAGGATGGCTTTTTGGGGTCTGCAAACAAGTCATCGTCATCATCAGCAAACAGATCAGAAGCACGAGCAAATTTTTGTGTGGCTTTCGTATCATCAGCAAACAAATCTGTGGCGTAAGCTGGTGCTGTGGTGTCATCGGAACCAAACAAATCTTCAGCTTTGTCTAATCGAGCCTCTTTTGGAGGTGGTTCTACAGCGGCAGAGGGTGGCTTCATGTAATACTTGGTCAAAATGTACAGTGCCAGCAAGGGACAGCCTAACCGTTCATACGATCGCGATACAAGCAGAGAGAATCCATATTCAATATCGTAAGGCACAATGGATTTTTGATCCTGCGTCAGATTCTTTTTCAGATGGTGGTACAGAATAAAGGCATTAGGATCATGCACTACTGCTGCCGAATCTGCGCCTGTTGTATCCATGTCCTTGTCAGTGAACTGGGTCAATGGCACTACCATGGCACGCACTGCATCCTTGTGTCTGTTTAGCAACCAGTAAGTCATACTGACCAGCCAGCGATCGTTGTTTTCTATCGCCATGGGGATCACGGAATTCTCTAGGATGTCTCGTAACAGAGGGCTATGATCTCCTTCATACACACGACAGATGGCGATGGCAAGATGAAAGTCTTTGACGTTTTTAAGGATGACATTGACGGCATCCTTCAGTTTGTCTGCCAACAAAAAGAAGGCAGCGGCGTATTCTATCGATGTGTTAACGTTGTACATCTACTGGTTTGTTGATATACACCTACCAAATCGTTGCTTTCCCAATAGTGCAAACGCATTCTTTGACGCTGCTCTCTGCCATTGTGGATCCGTGAAATCATTTGCCAGGAACTTTTTCATGGCTGCTTGTTCCTTGTGAGACGAAGTTGTCTTCCACAAACCCTCGATGAGATTCTTTTTTACGTAGTGCCAGGTAGTACAGTGTGCAGTCTACTGGATCTCTTGCTTCAGCGGATTTTGACAAGTATATATTTCTTGCAATGGTGGCCATTTGGTCTCTCTGCCAGCACATTGAGAGTGAGTATACGAAGCAATGCGCCTACTGAATCACTTACCACGACATCAATCTTTTGCAGCCATATAAACAGACCCAAATTGCGAGCATCTTGCCAAACCAGTGTATTGTCACAGAGTCGAATACATCTTTCCAACAGTAGATCCTGCGATTGACTGTGCAATGCCCATACATAATCCCTTGATTCCAATTGCATCTGTCGTTGTTCTGGTGGCAGTGATTTGTTTAGATGAAAGTGATTTTCTAGTAGTGCCGTAAATCGAGCACCATTCTCATCCAGTGAGTCGCCTTGGTTGGTGATCTGTGTAGCGTTAGTCGCTGTGTTAATGGAGAGGCACAAGGTCAGCTTACTTCAACAATGGTATCCACCATAGCAATCAAGTGAATTCTCTCACTTTCGTTCAATCCAGGCAACACTTTCACCTTGAGGTAGTGAGCCAGGTTCTTGGCTTCATTTGATGTCAATGCTCGAACAGTGTCATCGCCCTCGTTTTGTCTAGTGGTATGGTAAATCAATAACAAGGAAGAAAGCAAAAGAGAAACAATACATGATGCGAATACTTATACATACATTGTGTCAGCATCGTCTGCGTCATCATCGTCCTCAAATAACCCATTGTACTCTTGCTTGGCACCCTTCTTGGACTCGCCCTATATTCAACATGATTAGCGCCCAAATGCGAGGTATATGCTATGCCTATAACATACATTTTGAAGCTTCAACATCTTGGAAAAGGACACTGGAGGAAATTCGTTGATGCTATTGTCCTCATCATCGACAAACTGTTTAAAGAAAGTGTACAGAGAGACCAAGACACTGTGTACCAGATCCATTTTGCCCCACATGATGTAATGAATAAGATGATCTGGATGGTAAAAGGGCAAAGGGCCGTTCATTTCATAAGAAATGTCAAATATACTGGACATGGGCTCCACCTGACTATCTCCATGCACTCAAACAGCTAAAGCCGCAAGTCAGTAAAGAGGCAACACAGTACCTATTCACTTCATTACCTTTGGATATCCTATCATCGTCAATCAGCCATTTCAAATAACATCTAAGCTGGTTTCCTGCTGCCACTGTCAATAAACCGCAATCAACCCAAGCCAGCGCAGTGATATCCTCTGGGCTATTCCAACAAGTAAGCAACACTCTTTCATATCTACAACAAAGTCTACTCACGTATCCACCTTGAATGTAGTATAACAAGCCCAGATATCATCATTGTTTGCATTGTTCGATGCTCTCTTTTGCCCAAAGATACCGACACTCTTGGAAAATGCAATAGCTAGGATAAACTGAGCATCTGAAGTAACATTCCAAGCAATATCACGCACAGGCTCATCAAACTCAAATGTCTTGACACACCTGGGTGCTACGCCTGATCGTATTTCCATCCAAATAGACAAGGTTTTGTGATCTTGACCAGTCACCAATGCCACTGTGCCTGGCGCACACTTGATTTGATGTATACGACTACTGCTGGAAGTGTCCATGCTGAACAAAGCATTCCATTCAATGTTGGTTGTGTCGGTGTTGATGCCATAAAAAATGATCTCTGGTCCCAATGATACGATCAATACAGGCTTCTTCTGTAACGCCATTTTGTGGAATAGTTTCGAAGCCGTGTTGGTTGCCCATTGACTGGCTGATCCCACTACATTGGGATCCACTGTCCAAGGCATAGTCTGTGTACCTCGAAATGCGATATCCATGTGTTGCAGATGGTTGCGGGTCAAATGCCAGGTACTGATTTGTCTCAGTGTGGTGGATACACCTATCAGCAAAAATGATTTCTCTCCTGAATCTGCTTCCTCCCTATTGTATACATGTAATGATGATAGATCCAAAGCAGCTTCCGTCTCGCATGTGATGAAATGGTGTAAATGGCAATTTTGTTTATCAAACTCGTACAGCTTGACGTGATGTCCATCATACACTGCTAAAAATTTAATCTAATGTTGATTTTTTTTTAGTGCTCTTCTCCTTGGTTATAACAGAGATGATCTCTACCTTTATCCACAGGTACAGCCAAGAGTTGCTTGGATTCAACAAACAATGAACAGTCCAGTTGCAACTGAGTCGTCATTTTGCCACATGTCTAACGCATGTTGTGAGTAGCACTCTCAGGGCAATACTTCATCAGTTAATAAAATACCTCTCTCAGCTCATATTTCCACACATTGATCTGTCCATCGACACCCACTGTGCAAAATCGGTTCTTTTGTGTTTGATACAGTTTTGAGATGGAGTGCTGATGGCCCAACCATGTGTATTTCAAGTGCAGTCTGGGTGAAAATGAAGTTGAATCGAGGAAATCAATCAAATTGAGACTGTAACAGCGCAATTGTCCGTGCAGATTTCTGGCCACCAGCGACAACTCGATGGGTTTGATTGTGGCTGTATATCTTTCAGTATGACGGCACGCCCAAACAAGCTCTTTCAACTTACATGCTGACTGAATATGTGAATAATCATGCAAAATGTGTGTCGGATTTAAGAAGTAGATAACATCCAACGGATCAATGGCCTTGTCCACACGCAGCACTACAAACACTCTTGGAATTCGACGAGGCACTGAATTCAGATGCTGCACACCCCAAAATGTAAGTGATCCATCTGCCTGTATACGAAACAGCAAGTCAGGGGTATCTCGCACTCTGTCTCGGATGCGGTCCACGCGTTGATCAAAGCGCTCGTGTTTGGAATGGGACCTGAATCTGGCGTGAACGGCACTGGCTAGTTCATCACAACCGATATAATGAATAGGTGAATCTTTCTGGAATCAATCCGGGGCTAGCAAGATTCAAGATGTTATTTGAATCACTGTTTAAACAAAAATAAATCAATGGGATAATTTACGATAACATTGTTTATAAAACAAACTACTTACAAATTACCAACCAAGGTATGTATCTTTTGATCGAATGGCAAGTGTTTAATATCCCTGACTTCTAAGCGCTTTGTTTTTTTTTCTTTGAGCGTGTCTTTGGCTTGGCGATTGTTCTTTTCTTATTTGGAGGTACTGGCTGCGGCTTGGAGGTTGAAGGCCCAGCATTATTTTCAATATTGGTTGAATCAACGAGGGTGATCTTATCCTGGTATACACTATTTTTGGTATGCGCGCCGTACAACTCTTCAAGTTCCTATTTAACTTATCAAAGAAGAAAAAGATACATCAAAAACTACTTACACCACTCCTCCTCTTTTCAAATGCAACTTGGGCAGGTTTTGATGCTAACAACGCACCAACATTGTTTCTCATTTTCTCTATGGCCAATTTTTGTCGTTTGTCTGGTGAGCTATAGTCGTTTAAAAATTTCTTGAAGGAGTTCTTGAAGCTATCTACTGCTTGTGTATAGTCATCGGAGTAAAATTTCTGTATGGTATGTTGAAAGATTTTGAGCACCTTCCAATCCTTTATGTCATTGTTGTGTTGAATCACCTTATAGATTTCAAAGAGCTCGGCCTCACCTTTTATAATATTTTTAGAAACATGTTAATTTTTTTTTTTGAAGATTTCCAACTAATTACTTACCAGCTTCAACAAGTAAATTTACGTCAGCTACTTCAGTCATCGAATAATACACTTCGTTGGAGGACATTTTACAAGAACAGGAAAGTACCAAAAGTCCTATCTTGCCGCTGCATAATGAGAAAATCGATGCCAAGCTTAAATGCGACTCTGCATCTGTCGTCCCAATTATTATTATTATTTTTCACGCGTAAAAATCCTTGCTTTAGTTGCATTTCTCTTTTTAGCCGTTGGCCCCATTCTGCCAATGTTCAGCCTAATTCTGTCTACATTCTATATAATCTGGCTCAATATCATCCACCAGAATATATACAAGGCGGTTAATTCTTCGGTCGCGCTTCCTTTCCAAGTAAGTGGTTCTAAGTGGGTTGTGCAGGCTTTCCATGTAATTAATTATCTGTTCCCATTTTTGTGACATACAGCATCATTATTACAATCAAAAACACATACATACACTCACCAATGTTTAGGGCGTCTGTCTTTTAGATACAGGCTCTTCATCTACAGAAATATGGCCACTTTCGTAAGTGAAGTTTGTTGTTGTATTCTCCCACATCATACTTTCAATTGGGTGATTATTGCAGAACCGACTTGAATATCTTACAAACATTAAAAAACAGGCTTTTGGTAATATCGAATGATCTGTTTGTAAACAGGAGAATCAGATCCAGCAACTGAGTGCCTTATTATAATAGTATACAAGATCCCTCCTTTGTTGATATTGTGACAGAATGAATGACATCAAGACAAATACTCCTTGCAAGATAAGTATTTCATTTCAACAAGACAACAGGATTACTTGGTATGCATGAGTGTACCTTTACGGCCATGATTGCATCGCTCTCTTTGGTTACGATTCCTGCACTGATACCTATTAGTCTTGTGAGATTGTCTATGATTTCTAAAGATGAAAATTGTCTTTTGTAGAAACTGCCAGTTGTCTTGTTTATTTTACCATTGTACTCTCATTACATGTAACTAACTGTAAATTTTATAGGCCCTTCCCCATTTTCATTTACAATGTTTCCTGCACCATCTTCGAAATAAAATGTGTAACTCATTTTAATTGTGTTTTGTTGACAAGAAAGATTTACTATAAATGCGATATCTTTTTTTTTCTATAAATGCGACATCTTTTTTTCTATTTATGCGACACACTCTTTTTTTTTAAAAAATTTTTGTTAGTGCGACATCATTTTGGCAAAAGGTGTACAATCACGCTATACACGCTCAATGACAATAGCGGATGCTCCTCCTCCACCATTACAAATAGCAGCAGCACCATATTTAGCCTTCTTGTGCTTCAACACAGAGGTCAATGTAGCAATGATTCTAGCACCAGAACAACCCAAGGGATGACCCATAGCAACAGCACCGCCCCAAATATTGACATGCTCCTTATTCAGTTTCAAAATCTTGGAGTTGGCACAAGCAACAACAGAGAAGGCTTCATTGATTTCATGGTACTCAATATCCTCGGGCTTCAAGCCGGCATGTTTGATGGCCTTGGGCAAGGCCAAGGCAGGAGAGGTGGTGAAGCGGGCGGGTGCTTGAGCCGCATCACCCCAGCCCTTGATCTTGGCCAACAAGGTTAAACCGTACCTGTCAGCAGCCTCTTTGGAACAAAGCACAATGGCAGTAGCACCATCACTCAACGGAGAAGAGTTGGGAGCAGTGACGGTACCCTCCTTGCCAGCAAAAGCAGGGCGAACAGCACGCAACTTATCCTCGTTCAGTTTAAGCATCTCATCATCTTGTTCAATGACACGATCAGGTTTACCACGTCCACCACTGACAACGACAGGCACGATCTCATCCTTGTAAAGACCAGCAGCATGAGCAGCTTGAGCTCGCTTGTAAGATTCAATAGCAAAGTCGTCCTGTTGCTCACGCGTGATGCCATATTCAGTAGCACATTCTTCAGCAGCAACACCCATCAAGTAGTCGTTGTAAATGTCATACAAACCATCTTTGACAACACCGTCAACGACTTCAGTGTTACCATAGACGGAGCCAAAACGTTGCTTGGGGAGATAGTAAGGTGTATTTGACATGGACTCCATACCACCAGCAATAACGACATCTGCTTGCCCAAGCATGATTGTTTGAGCACCGATAATGACAGCTAAGCAAATCACAAGATGAGACATCCATCTTGGCACACATTGGACTGAGCCATACCTTTCATAGCAGAAGCACACACCTTATTGACAGTGGTAGCAATGGTGGTGTCATGAAGACCAGCACCAAGAGCAGCAACACGAGCAGGGTTTTGGCCGAGATTAGCAGGTAAAACGCAACCAAAAACGACTTCTTCAACGGCTTCCACAGGGACAGTCGATTTCTTCATGGCAGCTAATCATATCCAAATGTTACACCATTTGCATTGCATTCCATTTCAATTGCCATCTTACATTCAATAGCGATGGAGCCAAGCTTAGTTGCTTGAAGAGAAGCCAAGGAACCGTTGAAGCCTCCAATAGGAGTACGGCTCACAGCAGAAATGTATACGTCTGTATCAGGGATCAATCATTTGATCTGATGTTTTTGCTCTGGATTTGTGTTACATACCACGAGAAGCCATTTTCACAGTTGCTGTATATCAAGATGAGGACTAAATAAATATGGATTGGGAAAAGAGGAAAAAAAAAAAAAAAAAGAGTGGGAACTTGCCTCGACGCGTTCTTTTATCCTTTAGGACGCAGGGTTTGGATGCTTTCCATTGTCTCAAACCAAACTGAATTTTAGCCCAATCAATTCTAATCTGACAAACAGGTTTTACCTGGTGGAAGATGAATTAAACCGAGTGCAAGATGCCCGTTTACATGTATGGTATGGAACTGAGTGCAGAGAAGCATGGTTACTCTAGTCGCATTGATAGTGGGGGTCTCTGTGTTGCTAGCAGAGTCAATGCATGTGTGTCCAGCATTGGCTCGTTCATTGTGGAAAGGCCTTCTGATCCACTATTTACTCCGCTGATCATTGGCCCCAATGTCTGGTCGTTCCAACTGTTGTGAACCAACGTTCAATGACGAATCCAGGATGCTTCAAATGAATATCGAATGTTCAGGATACTATGCGCGCAGTTGGCAGAAGATACGCTGCACCCAATGTTGCATGAAACAGATGTGGAGAGTGTCCACCACCAAGCGAGATGTTCACCTGCGTGACTATAATTAAGGAGTGGCATAGCCGGATGCCTGTTAAAAATGCACTTTCTGACGCGGAGAGACGCTTCTTTACAATTCATATAGTATACAACCATGGCAAAAGACGAGAGCAAGCTTACGTTTGAAAAGGACGAAAAAGTGCTGTGCTATCACGGCCCTTTCATATACGAAGCCAAGGTAAATGCTTACCTGGGGAAGAGGAGCTAATTGTTAACTTGACTTTATCGTAGATATTAAAAAGAGAGAAGAAGGAAGAAGAGGGCGAAGAGCCACAAGAATCATACCAGTACTTTGTTCATTACAAGGGCTGGAAGCAGACGTAAGGCAGGCCCATTAGCACTATATACTGTAACGGCTAAAATGATATGTAGATGGGATGAATGGATCACAGAAGACCGTGTCCTCAAGTATACAGAGGCCAACTTGCAGAAGCAAAAGCAACTCAAAGAGTTGAACTCCAAAAGAAAACCATCACGACCTGCCAGTACATCAGCACTACACGATTCATCAGAATCTAGAAGCAGAAAGAGAAACCGTGATTCGAGTATAGACAAGGCAAGAATGGTAAGCAACGCTGATACCACGCCAGAATACCGTTTCTCATGGATACACGACCCTTTCAGGAGGAAGAAACGAAGAAGCCAGATTTCAAATTAGCAATACCAGATGCACTCAAAGGATTATTGGTAGATGATTGGGAGCATGTTACAAAGAACAGACAGGTAGGGGGACAATCTGATGTGTTGTGGTGATATGCGAATGCTAAGACACTGCTAGATCCACGAACTACCAAGGGAGGTGACAGTAGACAACATCTTGAGCGATTTCAAGCAATCCAGATCAGACAAAGGAGAGGTTTTAGATGAATATATCCAAGGCATTCAGCTTTATTTCAACAAGACATTACATACACAACTACTATACAGAACCGAACATGAGCAGTACGACGAAATATTCGGTGAACAGCCAGGAAAGCAGCCTAGCAGTATTTACGGAGCAGAGCATTTGCTGCGTCTATTTGTTGAAATGCCTAGCCTAGTGGTAGAGACCAACATGGATGCAGATACATTGCTGGAAGTGAGAGAAAAGCTGGAGGCTACATTGAGGTAAATTACATGGCTTTTCTGCCACGCATTGAGAGAGAGAGAGAGAGAGAGAAAGAAAGAAAGACTAACAGGCGGCGAATATACAGATTTATTCAGGATCATGAACGAGATTACTTTATCAACGACTATCAAAATTCACATGCAAAGTAAACAAACAAGTCATGTCTAGTAATAAAAAAGTGGGGTATATATTGTACATTGCAATGATGAGAGCTTATATCGTGGCAGCTAGGGTCGACATGTATTTGGATGAGGTGCCACCAAGATGGCTCGTATCGTGCAGCTGTTTGCTTGCTGTGTTGTCATCTTGTGCTGGCTGTTGTTTGTGGGGCTTTTCCTCTGCTGCCAATAGCTGTGTGTGGCGCTTGAGGTAGTTGACAATGATCTTTAATAGTATCAGGAATCCAATAATGTAGTGGAGGGCCATCTTATAAGGTCGAGCAGGGCAAGAGAACACAAAGAAATAAAGGATAAAAAGAGAGAGAGAGAGAGAGAGAGAAAAGGAGAAAAGAAGAAAAAAAAAACATCTAAAACATGAGATTCATTTCGAATAAACATTTAATGGGCAATATAAACAAAACCTGTCTGTACTGTATGAATCTCATCACATCCAGCTGCAAGAAAAGCTTATGAGCTTCAAACAATGGTTTAGCCGCATGAATACAATGGAGTTTAAAGAGGTTCTTGAGGTATAAAATATACACACGCCAACAGTAGCAGGAGAATTTACATTTGGCTCTTTTTTTTTTTTCTCTCTCTCTCTCTCTCTCTCATGGCTTCTCCATCATCTGCTACAAGAGCGCAAGAGACAACACCACTGCTATCAAGGATAGTAGACACACCTCATGTTCCGGAACGAAAAAACACAACCAAGCTCATCTACCTATATGTCTTTGGTCTCCTGCTGTTGCTGGTGACCTTTATCTATAACATTCGAAGCACCTTGCCAACGCCCTTGTCTGATGTACAAGCTCGTGAATTAAACGACTTTCCCGGTATTCATTGCTACAACGAGTACTTGTCTCATTTCAATCAACCGCATTCTGCCAACCAAAAGAATAACCAAGTGATCAAGGATTGGATCGTCCAGTTGGCACATGAGTTCAAGATCGAAGCTACTGCCAATGGTGTGCCTATGGAGATTATTGAGGATGATCCTACTGATCTTGTATCCAAGAGAAACAAGTTTAGCACTGGTAAGATCTACTGCTCACAAGCCATCGACTTTTTACTGACATTGGGATGTATCGTAGACGAGTATTGGCTGGTCGAATCAAGAAATGTCATTATCAGACTTACTGGCAAATCCAACAACACGAGCGAATCTTTCCTCGTCAACGCCCACTATGGTAAGGAGCGCCTGATGAGCCTGGTGTGTATCCAACACGCTGACCAACGTTTATATAGACAGTGTATCCACCAGCCATGGTGTTACTGATAACGGTATGGGAACAGCAGTTGCCATCGAACTACTACGCTATTTTGTACAACACCCACCTCAACATACCGTCATTTTCCTGTTCAACAACTTTGAGGAAGGTGGTCTAATCGGTGCTGATGCATTTGTCCAGCATCCATGGTTCTCTACCATCAAGTTGTTTGTCAATTTGGAGGGAACAGGTGCTGGTGGTCGTGCTTTGTTGTTTAGAAGCAATACGCTGGCAGCTGTCCATGGTTTAGCTGCTTCTGGTGCTCGACTCTTGCACGCATCGCCCCTGGGAAACGACCTGTTGCAAGCAAAGCTGCTCAAGAGTGATACCGACTACACTACCTTCACCAAGCACGGCGTTCCTGGCCTCGACATTGCCTTTTACACGCCTCGATCCCACTACCACACACAGCGTGATGATTTGGCTCACACCACCCCTGAATCCCTTCAACACATGGGCCAAATGGCATTAGGATCTGTCTTGGCTATTGATAACAGCGATACCATGTTGGATCAAGCAGGTGCTCCTGAGCCTGTCATCTACTACGATATTTTGGGTCGTATCATGTTGGTCTATAGCTTCTTTACTTGTCAACTGATCAACATGCTGGCCTTGTTTTGCGTGCCTCTCGGTTTGTTCACTTGGTTCTGGTTCTCTACTACGACCAATATTGAAGACAAGAAGGCTTTGTTGAAGGGCAATCTTTTCCTCATCGGCAAGGGATTCATTGCTGCTTTGGCTGCTTTGGTGTTTATGGTAGTCTTCACTGCCTTTTTTGCTTGGCTCATGATTGTGATCAACCCCTCTGTCACCTATGGCAGCGTCAACTTGGTGGCGCTTTACTTGACAGTGGCTGCATTTTTGGGCTTGGTGTCTTCTCAGTGGGCTATGGTTCGATGCTCAACGTCGTTTGGAAATAATCTGGCCAACATGCAAGTTGGATTTTATGGCCTCACTGGATTTTGGTGGTTATTGCTCGTGTTTGCCACGTATTTGGGATCTCAAAAGGTAGCTGCTGTCTATTTTGCAGTCTACTTCTTGATCAGCAGTACATTGGCGACGGTGCTCTTGGTAGGCACTCCTCCCAAGGCGATTGAAGGCGGCAGTGAAGTGGCTGCTGGCGTCAGTCGTTTCTGGTCCATTGCCTTCTTGATCCAAGTGTTGATGCCTGTGATCTTGATGACTGAATTTCTGCTGCTTGGCATGGACTCCATGCGTCACACTACAGCAGATGGCACACCTGAAGGAGCCATTTACGTCTTGCTTGCTACGCCCATCATTTTAATCCTTCTTCATCTGCTGCCTTGGGTTCATGCTGCGGGTGAACTCCAAAAAACAACTGCTTGCGCCGCCGTTGTGTTTGTTGTGCTCTTTATTGCTTCCTTGATGGCATCTCCCTTTGATGGCAAGTTGTCGCCCAACCGTATTCTCTTCACTCAAGAGTACAATGCTACAGAAGCCATGTCAACAGTCGCCCTCATCACTGGATCTTCATTTGGCGTCTTGCAAAGAACCTTGAAGAGTGTGTTGCCTGCATCAGAATACGAGACAATGGCATGCGAGAGCTACTTGACGTATCAGACACGCTGTACATTCCAATCAGCATTGACACCTGTCTACGGCAGACACCCCGAGAAGGAAATCAAGGTCTTCCACTGGCCAGTCATCTGTGATTCCAAAACGTGTAGCCTCAATATCACCACCACAGTCGAGAACAGTTTATTGTGTCAACTGCAGTTCAATAACCCCAAGGTGGACGGCTTGCAAGCATGGATCAACGGTAATCATATTCAGCCAGGACAAAGCGATACTATTCATGCATTGACTGCCTACTCCAAGAAGCAAGCAAGCACTATGCATTGGGATCTCTCCTATGATGCTCACCAAACAGAGGGATCAGCAGGTGAAGCTCAATTCAGCTGCATCTATGACGACTGGACACAAGGTGAATTACCTGCCTTCACTACCCTCAGAGACAATCTACCTTACAACGCCCTGTTGACCATCCGAGGCGGTGTTGGTCTCGCCAAGGTTCACTATTCCCCCTCCATCCCATTATATAGTGAGACGATCAGCTAGATCCTTTATTACAACTAATAAACCAATTTATTTCTTGCTCTTTTCTAATTGTTCTTGCTTCCACAAGGCTTGAAGAGGTTGGAAAGCCTTACCAGGTTGATCTCTTAAATAGAACAATTTGGCTCTTCTAAACTTGATTTCGTTGGGCTTTTGCATGACCTTGATGCTCTTTAATAATGGTGAATATAACGAATACCTCTGCTCGACACCAACACGCATAACAATGTTGCGAAGTGTAAAGTTTGTGTCAATGCCCTTTCTACGAATAGCGATGCAAACACCCATGAAGGTGGATGAGGTGGTTTCTCCAGGTCCGTTCAATGTCTCGACAAGGACAATAGATCCAGGCTTCACGCCTTGAGGATTGTTGCGGCTAAAGAGCTCACGACGACCATCCATGTTGGATTTTTCGATTTGTTGTTGTGTGATTTGTTCCATGACATTGATTTTAGGTACTTTTGTAACTGCTGCTGCTGTTGTGTAGTTGTCTATGGATAGCTTGCGTTGGTTTTCTTTCTCTTTTAAGCAAGATACAAGAGTCTCAATCAAAAAGACTTACATTTGGAGGCAACTTGGACGCATGGGCGCAAGGTCTGTGTGGATAATCTAGTAGCTACAGTTCTGAGTGCGTTCATCTTCTAGAGTTGGTTTCGATTGGAAAATGTCAAAATGAAGAAAGAGAAAAAAACCCCGGTAGACAGCTTAAAGTAGTAGGGGCAATACTTTTTTTTTTTTTTTTGTTTTTACTTCTCATCTGATGCCAGTTGAGGGGGGGTATTGTTGTTCCAGTCACAAGCAGTCAGTTAACCTATAGTAGCCAGCATTCCAAACGCAAAATGCTTGATTAACGCAAACCGCAACTTTTATACAGCAAATAATAAAGAATCAAAGCAATACCAGCTGATTGGGGATACCTAACATCGTTATTTATTGGAAATAAAGATTAGAGCCGGCAATCGGCTGAGATCCTTGACAAAAAATGAATCATAGTAGCATCAATGTTAATTGTATGTAAAAACGCAGAACACAGGTATAATATTCGAGTCTATCGCACGAGTACGTGCCAACCGCTTTAAGCAAAACTACACATATCGCAATGGGTTGAGTGAAGAGCTCTTGGATTATGTCACAAAAGGCAACATCTAATCAAAATATGACTGAACGACATTGATCCTTGACCATATACTTAGACATGTAGCTTGCATTATTAGAACTACTATGTCTATTACCCATGGAGCAAAGAAAACAGCGAATGAGATAACTTGATCAACAAAACGTAAAAAATAATTCTTCAGAGGTGATGACCTCTTCACTCGGTATTAAAGGTGCTGTGAAGAGATTTAAGCTATTGCAAATGGGAACATAAAGCGGACAAAGCTCGAGAGAGCATATATCGCCTTATACTGCACTGTAGCGTTATTATGTGTCATAATAAAGTTAGGTTTTGAGAGATCACTAGTATACGATCATCGTTTTTTATTTGGGATGATGTGTAAGACACTCAATCCGTGGCTTTTTCTTATTCTTCAGTAAGTTTCCAGGAATTTGCTACCTAGAGCGCCCATTATTAGACCTATTGAATTATATCGTTCGGTTTTCAGGTACACACAGATTTTTTTGTGTATAACCTTTTAATTAGCATAAAAATCAAATCATTTAGCAAAATGGTAAAGGCCATCTTTTATCCTATATATATATATCCCTTCATATACACTTACCTAAGTCTAATCTTACAATATCTCTACACACGACACCAACAAAAAAACGGCAATAACAGAAACAAACCTAGTAACAACTCACGATATTCAAAAAAACAGTAAAAGCAGATATAGAACAACAGTTCCCGAGTTGAACCTAAAACTTTCCATCGGTAGCAAGATGTATTACCACTGAGCTATCAACAACATTACGTAAGCATTTTAAAAAAAACAGAAAATAAGCGAGTTCTGTAAGTGAGAAAGTGGCAATGAATGGCTTAGTTCATGAGTTAATCGACATTAGAGATGCAATTTCTAAGCGGAGGAATATGCATACGCCAAATTGCAAAACTTATTATTATCAAACAAAGCAAGCTACAACTGTGTAATCTTAAAAGCAAGATTGTCCAACATGTCAAGTATCTATTGATAACTTAAAACCAGCAAGTTTATATGGCCCTTTTCGTACGCTCCTATTTTTAAAATGCTTGGTCAAATTCATACTTGTGAGGTGTACACATGTGGAAGGACAACGGAGCTTCAATTTATATCGTTCTGAATGAGGATCCATGGGATTCTTGAATCTATCGACCTTAAAATTACGCGCTTCTTGATAGTAACCACCCCTTCAAACTTATATGAAACTTGTAGAGAATTCAAAAGAAAATACAATGGTATGCATATCAAGTCTCTGGTGTACAATACTCAACTGATTTTTGATGAGATAAACTTTACAATTTCTTTGACTGTTGTCTAAAGATTAATCAGTATCTGTCATCAAAACATTTTGTTACGCATTACTAGACATTGTAGGCCAAAAAATTTCCTATCGAATGAGCTATTGCTTAAAGCTCTAGCATAACTCTATCATGAAATATTGAAAATCTTGTCCTGATCAAAAAATCATCACCAGATTTTTTGCTTGCTATCACAGGCAGATTTTGAAGAAAAATCCATGATTTTGCATGATACTCTTTTTTTTTAACCATATCTCGACAAATACTCACTGGATTCGCACAAAAAAAAAAGACCATTCGGTAACTCTACGTTATATCCATTATAATATAAGAGTTTCAAGTATCAGGTGTACGTTCCCTTCCTAAATTTGTTCAAAATTATATATTTTATGAGCTACAAGCAGGAGATATTCAATTTTTTTTTATTTATCTATAATAATCATACTATCGTATAGAGAATTGAAAGAGAAACAGAAGCTATTAAGTCTGATGCTCTCGTTCACTTAGTAAAATCCAGAGGTATGGCCCTTTGAAAATCGGTCATTTTGAACATTTTCCATCATTACTCATTGACATCGCCACCAATAGCTCCACATCAAACATGTCCTAGTCAATCAAAGTACCCTCTACAACTTTTACTACACATACATTCCATATTCATATAGTAATTTAAAAAGTTTTACTAGCAGCATCTATTCAAAATGAACTATTTTCTAAAATCTTTTTTTTTTCTTAACAACCATGCTACTTAGGCAAGTTTCTTTAGAGCATCTTCCTCTTGGCAACAGACTAGTTTGTGAACATGCTAGTTTAGAAGCTGTAGCGGTAATACCTCCCTCCAAACTCGATTTTGGATTGTTTAAGCATTGACATCGATGGCAGTTTTTTACATTCAAGACCTTATGCGAGGTGAGATATAACATCACACAATAGTGAACTCCGTTTTACAGTGATAACAAATAAAGTGTACTTGATTACTGGGAAGCTTGGGAGACCTATTAGACAAGTTTGGCGGCATTGTACGAATGGCATATTTTATGGGTAAAATATGTGTACATTATGCCACAAGGCCAAATGGAGTGAAGCAAGGCAAGCTACAACCATCTAGTCTTGAAACCATGAATCATCAGCATGTTATGTATTCACCGATAACTTGAGATCAACAGCTTATTAGGGAGGCTATGGCACACTGCAAACTCAACTTCTATCACGCCAAAGAGGTTTTGACTAGGGTGCTTTCTTGCATTTCGTTTATGGATTGATCATTCGTAATTAACAGATAATATACAATGGTCGACCAAATTTTACCTCGAAACTAAAACCTGTACCCCTTCGACCGCTCTATGCTTTTTCCATTCAATACCCTTCTCAGCCAGGCGATATTAATAACATATTGCGAGCAACGTTTACTATATTTGTTCATAAGCAGTTAGTAGTATCTGCTCAGTACCTACCTCTTAAGTCATGAATTTTCTAGCTACTGTACTGGCTACGCAAACTTACGCTGCACAACCGTTTCTTTGGCATAGAAAGATGTCAGTTCAATTTGTCATAAAGGCGACTGCAGAAAACTTTCGGTGAGTCCAACTTTTCTGCTTTTGCTACTGTGTTTCATATGGAGGAGATGCTAGGATAAAGTCTAATGATCTACCTTTATCAGTGATCGATAGCTTGATTAATGAGGATGCCACTGTGCATGCTTTTATTTGAATTTCTTCATTTCAGAAAAGAGTGTTGAACTCTTTCTTGTATTTAGTAGACAGTCGCTACCCAATAATCAGGAAAGCTTGCTCTTGCTTTCTTTTTCGTTTCTTGTTATGTATGCAAACCAAACTTATTTTATTCGCTAAAGGCGCGCTTTCGTCAAGAACCGCTTTTCAGCAATCTTCTTGTCTAAGACAACTTGGCGTTTTTCTCTTTTATAAGGCAGTTCTCGTTGTAAAATCGACAGAAGTAAGACGGTTTATAATGCGGATGAGGTCTGCATAGAAAGGCTTACTTGGATTTTAGAGTTGACGCTCTTGCATGCAAACCTCACAGTCAAAGCTCTACTCTTTGATATCTATTTGCGTATACAGACAGAAGAGGCTTTCGAAGCATCTTTGTGGTATATTAAAGGGTTATGTACTATACCCATGAAGATATGATCTTATCTTCTTGAAATGACTTCATATTTAAATCAAATAGAGAGTCGACATCTGCATAGTACAGGACTCTAAACCTATTTAGTAACGTTTAATTTCAGGGTATCTGAAGCAAAAGATGATAAGCACTGCATCGTCTATTATCTCTTTTAAAATTCATTATTTACTTGCAGAAGAATTCAGCCCTAGTATTTCATGTGATGGACAAACTTGGGTCGAAATCCGACTTTTAAAATTGAAACTTATTATGGTACGTAATTGTTGATGTCTAATGAGTCGCTCTATTTGCATGCATCATTTTTAGACAAATATTAAAAATAGCAGCTAAGTATTTTGATAGAATTTATCATGTGCCAACGGCTTTAAAACCGTTTACACAAACAAAGAGCAACGCGGTGTAACCGATAATTTTTTGTTTTTACCAGGATTAAACATGTTGATGGCATCTACATGCAAATTGATGAATAAATTAGCAATATTCTACGGTGTCTTTTTATAAAGATATAAAGCATGATTTATCAGTCCATAAGCTTCTGAAAATCAATGCAAATGATGAGGCTGGGTTGCGAAAAATTATCTAATAGCCCCATGTTACATTTATGACCATTGGGCTTTTTTATTGATTTAATTAAAATATACAAAATATACACGCTCTAGGTGGTAACTCTTTCTATTAAACGACATCTCTCTTTTCAGACATGGAGTGTGATTCATGAAGCAGGGAAGCATTTTGCTCGTATTTATCATCACGGATATGAGTAGTTGTTGGCAATACAGATTGTTGAGCAGCGTTTCTCTTCAAGCTTAATTCCACATGCCCGTACCAAGCACCACCTACCAAAGTAAGAATAATACCGAATGAATTTGTTGCGGTAATGATATAATCAAACAGTACGACCGACAAGACGATAGATAACACTTGCTTGACATTACCAGCGACAGTCATTGTAAGAGCGCTGGTCTTTTTGTTGGCAGTGAAACTGACAATGTTCAATGCGAATGCGATAAGACCGTTCAGCAACAAGCCAGAGGCCAACCTCATGGTCATGTTCTCCCCAGCAAATTCATTCACACTTTGTAATTCTCCAGTGGCGTATGCATAAACAATGCATTGGATGAATGCAAGTGGTGACATACGAAATAGCAAATCGAGAGGATTCAACTTGAGTCTGCCCACTTGAACACGATTTGTCACAATTGTCTTAACTGAAGCTAATACTGCACCTAATACTGTCAGGAAGAATCCCATATAAGTGAACGAGTATTCATCACGAGTAGCAAATCCGACGCCAAGAACGACCTAACCTTCCATTAGCATTGTATCACACACATGTAGATGTAGAGTACTTACAGGCATTAAAGACAGATAGATTTGATTAGGATATGATTTTCTGAGGAATAGGATGGATATGATGACAGTAAACACTGGTGTCATAGCACGGACAACTTGATGAAACTATTTTTAGATGTTAGCCTTATGTGAAAATGTTGTCATCACAGAAAGATTGTCTTACGGGCACAGATACAAGATTTCTATGATACAATGTTAGTAAAAATAGCAACAAGACACTGCAATTTGACTTACAATGACACATTGCTAATAGCAATATTGATGGTATAAAGCACGGAGAACATGACCATGATGATATTTTCGCGATCGCCCAACTTTGCAGGAGTGAAAACCCCCATAAGATAGAGGATGTAGCAGCCAATCGTGCCACATAATGTATGGATGGCAGTTAATGTGTATGGAAATTTGAAATTGTTCAAGATGATCTTATTATAAAGCGTTAATGATAAGTTGAGGATAAAGTACAACCCCAACCACATGTAACCATAATCAATCTTGCTTGCCATTTTTCTTTGTGGTATATTAATGTGGAAAAGAAAGAAGAGAGAAGAAAGATGATATCGAAATCAGGCTTTGTTGCTCTATTTAAATATATTTTTTTTTTTGGTCTCTTTTGTTTGGCACCAACAAAAAGGTTAATCTCGTATTCCATTTCGGGCTAATTACCAATAAATAATGATCTAGAGCTTGCGCCTTTCTTTTTGGTGTCCTCCCTCTGAACCCCTTAATGATACAGAGGCGTATACTACAAATATAACTCAAATTTACATATAGATTACAGCTTGGTCATGTACGGTACATGATACATATCGTCATTGAAATTGGTTCAACCCAGCCAAGGAATAGAAACTTCCAGGGACCAAAATTTTCCTAAATTGACATTATTGTTGGAATCACTACGAGCTTCAGCAAAGGGTAATTTTCATCATTTCGTTACTTTTAGAAACAATACACTGGAATAGGTAACACGAGGATGCGAATACAGTATCAGAAACACAATGAAGCTTGCAGAAAATGAAAAAGGTTCACTCCTTCTGATATGGCAGGGCCCAAAAGCGAGTTTCAAATTCATTTCTGATTAGTGACACCCAGGATAATCTCCTACTCAATAAAACCACCTGTGAAAGATCAAGTCTTCCAGCAGGGTAATCAATGTTCTTACCAAATTCAAATGACCCAAGGTATGCCATCAAGTGGAAGATATACATGAAGACTTTAGCTATTGGATGAAGCTGCGCACACTCTTAAACTGACCCAAGACACTGGAGATCTTCGTTGATTTGGCGCCGCTGGACTTGTTCTTGTATCAATCACTTTAAGGTTTAACCAGATTCTGTATATGTAGATGCCAAGATCAGGATTTTAAACGCCTGTTGTATCAAATACGCACCTACTTTTTGGGGGTCTGACTGCATTTCAATCAGTTGATGGCCTCTGAATACCTATGCATCTAGCCAAGTATTTATGGATTGCTGTGCGATAAATTGCATGTTTATAGCTGCTCAAATACTCTATTGATATCCACAGAGAGTGCACGGCTGCAAGTATCTTACTGGAGTTGCTAATCCTAATGTCGTACTACGAACATCATGGTATCTATCTAGATGCCATTATTTTGACCTATTTTTATTGCAATCTGTAAATGCAACTGGCAAAAAGGCCCCAAGGCGATCATCTAAAATACAGAAATTACCTGGTATATGCGAGCCAAGGAAAATGCTCATTTGCAGAATATGAAGATATTCACTAAAATCTCTATTATTCACAGAGCACTGGTAACATCTCTTGAAACTTTTCAAAAGATGACTCGGTAGCTTGGTTGCTAACATTTGCAATTATTAGAGGTAATAGTATCCTTTTTGCGTATAAACCTTTTCACACTACTCTTAACAACAAACCAAAATTGTTCTCTTATGTTGACTTCTGGAGAGTAAAGTGGTCATTTCACCAATTGCTTTGCTTGTGTGTATTGGCGCACCATCCATAATCAGATAATGTTCTTCATTTCAGGAAACTTGTCAATCTCAGCAAGAATGTCTTTGATGAAATTAACATAACAATTGGTTACTGTGCCCTTTGTTTACTGCTTTTTGCCACCATCTAGCCTTCTTTTCTTTAAAAAATAGTATAGGCTTCCTCGAGCTAATTTTGATGAGACCTTCAGCAGAGGTGGCTCCCAAAATTAAAGCTTTTGTTACGAAATAAATATATTTATTATTGTTTACGAGTGTTTATGGTTCGGATGGTTCTTTACCTTCGCTTCGCTTCGGTAAGAACCAGCCTGCGCAGCGGCAGCTCGCGCTACCGATAGCTCTTGCGTATCCTATCAAAATACTGCTGCTTTCATCTTGACCTTCCACTTACACATGAAAACCTTTATATTATCTGTGGACCTGATTCTTATGTAATGCTCTACACCCATATACACGTAGCTACTTCATATACAGGCAAGTAGCATACTGGTGTTTCCCATTTTTAGTCCTTAGTGTCCTTGATACAGCGAAATATGAGTGCATTTAAGCTGCATTTTCTTGCGTTCAAGGCCGTTTTAGATCGTCAGAATAGCACCAATCAATTGCTCTCATCTGGCAATTACTTATTGTCATTATTGCTCAACTTTTTGGGGACCAAGAAAATATGGATGAAGATCGACCAAAAAGCATGAGATACCCCTCATGATTTTCACCGAAAGTCAAACGATCGCGTTTTTCACCCCAATAATGAAGACTTTTACTATGGTATATACTAAATCAAAATGCTCCTATCGATCTAACGTAATCCCTGAGATCATCTTTGTGGTACCTTGATATGTAAAATTTCGACTTTTTGACCAGAAACCTCTTTTCATATTTTCATGAGTTGCTCAATAAGTTTATTCAAAACATTTATCTTATTGGGTACCATTGGATGCGCCTTGAAAAGCGCTCCAAGAAAGCTTAAAGAAGCATAGGGTAATCATCATATCTTAGTCGAATCTGCAAAAATAGTTCAATCGGGTCCAAAATCATTGAGATTTGGCCAATCTGGAACAGACTATGAATCTGCGTTTGAATTAAATTTAACTAGTGATGCCGGCTTTCATCATGAAGGCAATGCAGTAATAGATGCTTTTGAAGCATATGGAAAGTAGGTGGCAAATCATAGCACTATCTTTAACCATGCTATTTTATTGCACTCTATATTTAATAATGCCAGTCTATCAGAATACTTGTTAGGCCAACTTTTTTCCTTTTTTTTGAGGCTTTGAGAGTGTCTAGGGACCATAAATTTATTACGTTACGATGAGCATTTCAACTCTTCGGTTGGTTTCCACCAAAGAGAAGTGTAGGTCAGGAAAACAACCTACATTCAGGTGGCTCTTGCTACCACGGGCCTTTGGCTAATATTGCAAGATTAATAATAGCTAAACGTTAGAAGAAACTTGATTGTTGATTGATGGTAATTTATATATAAAAAAAACATTGCGTTACCAGTCAATGTCTGTCATCATCAGTTGAAAAAAGACTTTCTTCAAGAATCGGTGGGAGAAAGATACTACGCAGATGTTGATAAACATAAACAGTGTCCCGTTTATTTCCGTGTTATCTAAATATTCTTTTCTTTCCTGTAACTTCAAAAACTGATTATGAATAACGACCCTCTGAGCTACCATGTGCCAGACAGTTCTACTACTGAATGCTCTTCATATTTTAAATCTACGCCACTAAGCAGATGGAGTGTTCAGGGTTTTGCGCAACACACACAGCTTAGCTCTAGCGTGAAAAAGATTGGAGAATGCTCATAACAAGTCTTCAACACGCTCGAAACTATCAGAAAGAGTGAAGAAACTCCTAATAATGTTAAATGCTTGCTAAATTCAATTTTACCAATAGTAAATGCATTGAATTAACAAAATCGTTCTCTTATATAGATGAAAACTTCCAAAGACAAAGAAGCTGCTCAAGTTGATATTAAAAACAATTACTCTCAATGTGCTGTATCGAGTTCAGGAAATGCAAGTGTTGTTTTTTATTCACTAGCGTCAAACAAGAGTTCAGATCCAGATCCAAGTGGTTCAAATAGAACAGAAATTACGGCTGTGCCAAGCAAAATGCCAGCTCCAAACAATGGAAAAAGAAAAGCCACTGAGGTTGAAGAAAGTAGTGAATTGCAGACCCCTTTACCGCTTGACGACTCTGATGTCCTGGACAGTCTCTTTAACAATCCTCTTTCAGCCCCTATACCATCGTTTTCTCCTTCAGAATTCCGAAGTTTAGTGTATGTATTTTTTTTCTAAAGTGAAAGCCAAGTGGAGCAGTTTTATTAATTTTTTTAACGCGATAATAGCAAAGTGTATACAAGTTAAGATTGATAAGGGCCTGTAAAGGGACAGAGGGGACACGGGTTATCCTACCAGCCGAGGCCGCGGACACACCAGCATCGTAACAATACCAACTACTTTCAAAATTCCATGTATTTGACCTGCCTAGATAGAGATTATTTCGATTTCGCAACTTTTGCTTAGACGACACCTCGCGCGGACCCATTCGGGTCTTGTTTACGGATCTAAAGCCGTATGTTTTAGAAGAAAATGCTTGGTGTTAACTTATTGACAATGATTATATAGTTGTCTAAAACATTCCACATGGCAGATGCTTTTGCCCTAGAAAAACTTATCCAAGCATTTAACCCTACAACACTTGATGAACAGCTAGACGTAATGTCGGCGAAGCTGGCGATGGCAATCGATCTAAGCGACATCACGCAAGTCAATACCTTGAAGTTATCGCTGTCCCGCATTATTGACACAGTCAACAATGGTGTTATGTCTGTATTCCGTCAATACTTGAACAATCAGGTTTGGGAGAAAATAAATGATATAGATATGAATATAAGTGAAGGAATGTCAACCGCCGATAAGCAATTATACCAAGACATACTGACAAGAGGCACTGTGAATGGCAAACTCGACAAGGAGATAAGAATTGCAATTGCGGAAGAAAAAGCTGTCAATGCTGAAGTCTGACCAGGCAAAATGCTTACAAATCTTGGATATACTCGACGTAGTCACCAAACATTGTCTTACTGACCGTGGCATTTGCCCTAATGACGATGCAAGTGAACTGACAAGAGCAAGGTAGTAACTGTTGGAATGGATTGGACGAGCACTTTGGGGTACATGTTTGCTGTCAAGCCACTTGATGATGTCTTTGTCGCTAGAACATTATGTACGCTCGCTATAACCACATATATTGATGAACTGCCTGCTTTTATTGATACTCTTGACCATCTTTATTCATGGCGTAATTATCATGTTCATATCAAGGATATTGTTCTCAAAGCTCTCTGTAAACGCGAAAAAGAGAAGTTTTTTCCTCTGTGCTTGGCTCCTCTACTACCACCAATACTGATGGCGATACCTCACCCAATGTTTACTTGACTGTTGCATACAAGCATGCATCTTAGGGTACATTCACTTTCTCCTCAAGCCACTTTTTACAGTGTAGCAACATAGATGATGTTTATCGTATCACATTACATCTATGTTTACAAATCCAGTCAATTGTGTGTGCACGGGTGCCTCAGGAACTACAATAGATTCAATCTTCCTAATGTCAAGATATCGAGATCCACCTACACTACATGAGACATATCGACTTAGGTGGCCTCTCAACAAGTTATACCAACAATCCATAAAGCCCCAGTGGCCAGCTATTTATATACCATCTCAACGTAGTAATCATTTACCAAGGATCTATCATGTTTAAACTAGTTAGATGCCCTGTAATAAAGAAGCTCTTTGCTTTCGTTTTAGATACAGCTGACAACTGATTATTATCATCGACTGTTATTACAAATTCATCATTGACGCCTACTCGATCTCGCCGAAGAAGAGTCGAATCTGAACTTCAAGACGGAGAACAAGAAGAGTACCAAGAAGAGTACCAAGAAGAATACCAAGATGAAGATGAATGAGCGAGGTATTTTTCTCCGTTTGTGCCTTATCTTCAAATAGGTATAGTAAATGTCAATCTTATGGAATTTCAGGAGATAAAAAAGAAAACTGGCTACTATACAATAAAGAATGATTTATTATTAAAAATTAGTATTTCGCATGAGCTCCCTTTTTGTGGATAATAGTTTGGCATCGGCAGGGCATACTAAGTGCAAGCACTGAAAGTAAATCGACATCAATTCGGTACCATTCTTTTATACATTATGACAGAATCGTATATGGAAGGGCTCGATGATAGTGCAACTCGAAAAGAAAGTGCCACGCTAATGGCGATCCTTTTTAGCCTGTAACGCTATGCGCTTGATTTTGGGTGATACACCACAGTGAGGTAATACACTTTCTCTGGGTATTGGATGCGCGAATGAGGATGATACTCATTTAATATAAAGGACAGAATCTATTTAATAGACACCGGACGTAGTAATGCATATTTAGCAGCGACTTGAAAAGCATTGGACTAAACAAACCTGTTTCTGTGCTGTGGAATGCACCAATATCGTATTAATATAATATCGTTGTGTCATGAACAGTAGGCGCTGCTTGCTTCATCTAATTATTTAGCTTGTGGAGCCCGACTATCAGACAACAAACTACAGAGTACGTATATTATCAGTGAAGTGCCTTGACTTGGCACAGATACTGTATCTATTTATCTTTTGATTTGACTTTTGTTGCCGTTGGTGTATGTTTTAGAATGGAAATGCGTAGGATGCAGCACATTTTACGCTGCTTCCTGCTTGAAAAAGTAGAAAACAACAACCAGATGTGTGAGCTCCTTTTATTTCATCAACATGGCCATATTCGCATTATAAGCGTGTATACGCTTTTCGTATGTTGGCTTTCGATCGGTCGTAAGCACGATGACAGCAGAATATGAAATAGACTGAGATTATACGTTCTCGTTCATTAACACGGTAACTGACTAGAATGTTGCACCAGAACAAACATGCTGCACAAGGAGATCTTGCGGAATTACCTGTTACTGCACCCTTCAATGTTGTTTATTGCAAACCATCTATTATTTGAATGAACTTGACGTGTCAAAACCGCTCGCTTACATCATATAGCATTTCTTTTACGCTTGAATTGTATTTGAAACAGTTCCTCAAAGTAGCATTGCTTGATATGCTGCGAGCACTTGACTCTTACATGACATGACTCCACAATCTATTTACCTGATTGGTAACACTGAAGATCAAGGAGGTTATGTAATAAACCCGCGCGCCTTAATGTAACTTGGACCATATATATATTGTACCTGTCGTGCCTTTTAATAGATTTCATTGCCATCATCGTCACTGATAAATTGAAATCCCGATAAAAATGATTGTAAGGAATAAGAAAGAGAAAAAACGTGCCCAGTGTTACTATGACAAATTGCCATTCAATATACATTTAGAATAAACAAGATGATCACTCTTTACAGGGAGTGATGATGGTGTCATTGCAATACAAGAGTGCTAATTTGCCATGAATTATTATTCAAATTCGCGTGGCAAAACCTTTAAGGGGCTGTCTTCTTTTTGTGAGAATGATGATCTACTATCATATACACATAGCTAAATGAACATTTAAATTATAAAAGTTTGGGCTGTACTCAGCTTTTCTATGTAAGAGCTATGCTGTATATTCTAAATGCATGTAGAAACTATACAACAAAAGTAGCAAAGAATGATGATATCAATATTGTGTAGGAATACAAGATTTAATTTGTATTTCTTTGAAGCACACAAGAAAAGTAGAGCCTATTTGCCTGAAAAGTAAATTTTACTCGGGTATGAGAATTAAAAAAATAAAAAACTTGTAAATGTCGTTTTCAAAACTGCCTTCTTTTCTTCTTTTATTCTCTTCTCCACTCTCTCTTCTCAACCACATCCAGCCATATTGGCATCTTCATTTTGAATATTCAGTTTGGTGCCTGACATTTTCAATCTATTTAAACAAACGCTGCTGGTTTTATGATCCTTAATAGACTCAGCACATGTTGAATGATGATACTCGAAAACCAAAGAACAGAATGCCTCGATTATTTATGAATGATCTTCGAAATACCAAAACACAAATCAAATCATGGTGGCATCAATTCAAGAGGAACAGCGAATCCAGCAGTGTAGATGATTCCTCCTCTCAAACAACGCTTGATTGGAGATCTCTCTCTCCTGATCGTCCTCCACTCCCGTTCTTTCTGTCCGATAACTCATCCAATTCATCCACCACATCCGTCCATAATGACAACCTCATCGATAAAAAACCTATATCATCTATACCAGCATTATTAGCAGACACTACATTAATTGACCCAAGCATAGACTCCAATAGTAAAAATACCAAAGATAATAATAGCATACCCAAGGTAAATACATTGTTTTCTCTTCGTCTATTTATACAATGCATTATATGCCACGTTTTACACCATGCATCTATCCCATCGTACATTACATGACATTTCCTCTCTCTTTTTTTGATGTTGCACACACCATTTAGCACCCGGAATTATGGCTTCCGAAATACGAGTGCTATTTATAATGGTGGCAACAATCGAATCCCTCACATTCGTTGTTATTGTTTTACCTACAATGAGAATTTCATAACACCAGCATTGCGTGTATATAATAATTTCCCACTCGTACTGACCTCTGTCTCCTTTCTTTCTCTTCTAGTCCTCTTCTGCTTCCAACAGTAGAAATAATACCGTCGACAACTATCAACCTTTGTGTCCGATCCTCGAAGAAAGCGAAACCATGGCAACAGACTCAAACGAATCCAATGTCCTATTAAACAGCAACAGTCAAATACAACAGCACAGTTCATCTCGAGCAAGTCATGCAGCAACTGACTCTTCCTCATCCATTCAACTCGACCATCTTGACAACAAGCAAACAGTTTCACTTGCTGCTGTTTCTAGTGTTCAGGAACCTTCTGCAGATCAACAACAGCAACCCGAAATATTGGCTTCCGCTGCTCCTGCTGCTCCTTCTGCTTCTTCCTCTTTATTGGATACTGATTCAAGCAAACCATGGCCTGAAATTAAAGCAGTTCAAAAGACTCCTAGCGACCGGTACATGCCACTTGATCTTGTAGGTAACGAAGAACTTTGCAAAAGGAAGTTCGCCAAGATGGTGCTCGCTGCTAACAAGTTTCAAAATCAACAACAACGAGCACAAGAACAAGACGAGAGGCCTAGTCAGATGGCTCTATTATTTGATGTGGATGGTAACATTGATATGATGCGTATGGTGCGTCAGGGAAAATCCGAATATCACAAATTCTGTGGCAATTCTCAGTACGTTCCACCTGAACTCTCGGTAAATGTCGAGTATCAAAGCGAACTCGCAGACATCTGGGTGTTGGGTGTCTTTTTGTATCGCATGCTGGTTGGAAAATATCCTTTCTCTGCTGCAAATGATCAGCAACTGTTCAAAAAGATGTTGCACAGCGATTTTAGTATCCCCAATGAGCTATCGGATGGTAAGTTGTTATTGTTATACAAGCGATGGCCTGAGAACTGACATGGAACTGTAGATGCCAAAGATATTATCAAACGCATGCTGGCTCCTGATTCTTCACGCGCGTCATTGGATTTGATTATTTATCATCCTTGGATCAAGTACTATAGGCCGCTGTTATTGGATCATTATCATAATGGTAACAATCACAACAATAACCATACTGGTAACACAATGAAAGCCAATAGACCCATTTTTATCAACAACAATAACAACACAACAGCAGCAAGACGTCCGCCACTTTCCAACATACAACAAAAAAAGCGAAGCATACTTGGTAGCAGATCCATTCGTAGATCCAACAGTGTCAACACCACTACTCCATCCTCTTCGACATCATCTACTCAAGAACCCAAACCTAAGAAAGCCAAGCCGAATACAAAGCAAAAAGGATTCATAAAGAAAGCGTTTTTGCTCTTGTTCCAAGGCCCTTTTCCACCACCAAAGAAGCCCTATCAAGAATTAGCCCACTTGGGGACCCGTGAATCTGTATTTGCTAAACATAGAACGTAAACAGTTTACAGAAAAAGGCATAAGAAGGTTGATTCTTTACTTTAGCCACTTACTTCATAGCATGTTTATTATCCTCCCACGCTCACAACCATCATTGTATAGTATCCTTCCCTTTTCTTCATTGTAATATAACACTTACTAGATTGCTTCGCTATTAATAAATATTTATGTACTCTTTTTTCTGACATACATATCTGAGGAAACGATGGTTGTACTACTGTTTCTTCAAACATGTGGTTGATCACTAATGAAGTCTTTCTATTATGATTAATTCACTATCTAAAAATCTATCGTATTGCGTTGACGGAATAGCTTATACATAGAGTAAATATTTACCGTGCATTGCATACAAAGGCTGCTTACAAATATACCTTCGAAAGTCGTCCTGGCTTGCATGAGGGATAGGACGATTACTACAAACGTGGAAAATTAATAAGCTTGATATAGACCACATCAAATTCTTATAGTCTCTTTCAAATGAACCGATGAAACCCATACCGCCTATACGCCATCTTCACTCTATATGCTGTAAAACATTCAAAAAAAAGCACATACAAATCATATCCTTTCAAAAATTCAAAGAATTGAGTACCGCACAAGGTGAATGAAGCCGGCATTGGGGAGAAGGTTTGGAGGAGGTGCTAAGTCCACCCACCAAAAACATAACGCATCTAATTCAACATTTGGTAACATTGGCCTATGAGGCAGTTTTACCAAGCGAAGTGAAGGTGAACAGCCATGGTAACTAAGCCTCTAACCCACCATTTGGTATTATTAATCTTAATGAGGGGTTTACCGTAGCGAGGCGAAGGTGCAAGATCATAGTATCTAAGCAGCAAATTCTGGTTTTCATTTCCATTGTTAATAAGCTTACCGACAACATAGCGCATCAAAATTTGCATGAATCGGCTTTACCAAAATCAATATACCTCCTATTCGAATTAAAAATTGCTCAAGCTACAGAACTGCCCTTCCAGAAGACTTCAGCTACTAAAGATGTATTTTATGCCGTGTAAATAAACTCTATAAAGCAATACATAACCAAATTTGACAGCTTTCAAGCCTTCGTATCTTGACATGCAGGCCGTTCTGAGCCATTACAATAATGCCAAACAATTGTACTTGAGTAACAGTAACTTCCTGGCACCTTTGCTCAACTTTTTGAGGACCCAAAAGACATGGCCAAAAATCGACCAAAAAGCATGAGGGGTGCCTCATGGTTTTCATCGAAAATCAAACAATCGCATTTTTCACCTTGAAAATGAAGACTTTTACTATGGTACATCTTGAATCAGAATGTTTCTCTCGATCCAAAGCAACCTCTAAAACCACTTTTATGAGGCTTTCATATGCAGAATATGGCTATTTTCGCTAAAAACCTCATTTCAAACTTTACTAAATTGCTCAACAATTTCAGTCAAAACACTTATTACAGTTGGCACCATTGGAAGCGCCTTGAAAAGTACTTCAAGAATGTATTAAGGAGCGTAGGTTGATCACCACAATTTATATAGTCGAACATAATAAAATAGATTAACGAAGTCGAAAGAAAGCGATATTTGTCCAATCTTGAACAGAAAAAAATAAACCGAGTTTAAATCGATTTTGGCGGCAACATTGCTGCTGGCTGACCTAAATGCCTTTCTGTTGATGACAATGATGATTGCGATGCTGATTAAATGGGGACCATGGAATTGAAAGAACTACCACTTAGCCTGAATACTTTCTTTTGCTTTTTTTGGGCATTTTTATATCTGACAAAGCCAGTCAGCTTGGCTCGCCACCAAGATATTTGTAATAGCAACTTCCTAATCATGATTTGCAGTATTTTAACACTAGCCGATCTATCTCGCTACGCTCGATGCCGGCGTCGCCCTGTGGGCTCTCGCCAAAGACATTTTAAATCAGTCATAATAAAATTTTGGCATATCAAGTAGATTTTAAACAATTTATTATTAGTAAAAAAAGAAAAAAAAAGAAAGGTTATATTAAAACCACCAGGATGAGAGGAGGTATTTTCCTCAGCATCCTTTTTGCTTACACTGATATCAAACGAACCCTATTATTGAGACGATATGAAAAAAATTCAAGTTTTATATAGCATTTGTACACCATAATCTCCATTTTCTGATAATAGAATTGTCATACCATTCGTTGCTGCTGATGCTCTAAATAAGATGACGAAATAAAGCTGGCCATAAGTAAATAAAGGACTTGTGTAAGATATACAGCGATATTTTTTGAGATATTGTCATTGCAGAAGACATCTTCATGAGGCAAAGCTCCACCAAAAAAGTGTTTGCGCTAAGCAGCTGTCCTTTCAATTCCATGGTCCCCATTTAATCAGCATCGCAATCATCATTGTCATCAACAGAAAGGCATTTAGGTCAGCCAGCAGCAATGTTGCCGCCAAAATCGATTTAAACTCGGTTTATTTTTTTCTGTTCAAGATTGGACAAATATCGCTTTCTTTCGACTTCGTTAATCTATTTTATTATGTTCGACTATATAAATTGTGGTGATCAACCTACGCTCCTTAATACATTCTTGAAGTACTTTTCAAGGCGCTTCCAATGGTGCCAACTGTAATAAGTGTTTTGACTGAAATTGTTGAGCAATTTAGTAAAGTTTGAAATGAGGTTTTTAGCGAAAATAGCCATATTCTGCATATGAAAGCCTCATAAAAGTGGTTTTAGAGGTTGCTTTGGATCGAGAGAAACATTCTGATTCAAGATGTACCATAGTAAAAGTCTTCATTTTCAAGGTGAAAAATGCGATTGTTTGATTTTCGATGAAAACCATGAGGCACCCCTCATGCTTTTTGGTCGATTTTTGGCCATGTCTTTTGGGTCCTCAAAAAGTTGAGCAAAGGTGCCAGGAAGTTACTGTTACTCAAGTACAATTGTTTGGCATTATTGTAGTGACTCAGAACGGCCTACATGTCAAGATACGAAGGCTTGAAAGCTGTCAAATTTGGCTGTGTTTATACATTTGCTTGTCAATAGGCGCGTGTTTGTTATGATACAAACGTGCAAAAACATTGTGTGCATTAATCTTGATTTAGAGCATGCTGTTACATTCAAATATTTAACTAGAAATATTAGATTGAGTAGCCATGCTGTATTGCTGTATCATAGCGCAATGATACAGCTTATTAGTGAGGCGAGATAGTCTGCATCTCGTAAAACTATACTTTAAATTTAGCTGAAATATATGTGGCCCGTATAATATCCAAAACTTAATGTATAGTAAAGAAATATTGCCACTATAATCTCCTTTCACATCACCATAGAGCTTCACATGCCTAAAATCTCGGCTAAATCCATTATATTCAAGCAGGCCTGTTATTTTCAAAAACTATTTGCCTGGTTTCTTCAATCAAGCTCTGTGCTGCGACCAGGCACCGTAAGCTCTAATATCAAAATTGTAACTAATCGCTAAATTGGTGTGAAATCCTCGGTACTTTCTCATCTTTGGATGCTTTTAAGATCTGCTATGGCCATCTAATAGAATGAATCTATCTGCCACAATTAGAAGCATACTATACATCAATACGCATCAGATCACGTTGTGTGCTATGTACCAGACCTTGATTGCATGCTTTTAGCGCCTGGAGGCTCAGTCAACCTACAAGAAAGGGACATTGCTTTGGCATCATAGCATCATCATATGGTTAATGGCTCTATAGGCGCATGAGTGTAGCACGGATAGCGTTTACCCATGATAGAAGGACTTAAATACGACATTTATATGCGAAAGGAACTTTCTTGTATGCAGAATTAAAAAGATTTCCACAGAATTCAATGATAGCCAAGATTATCGAGACTAATCGATGTATCACAATAGTCTATAGTCATGCAAACTAAGATGTTTAGTTTATTAAATTGCACATGTGGTAGCTCTGCGTGTTTCAGCAACATGAGGGATTGGTATTGCCTGTCATACAGAAAAAAGATAGATGGTATCTATCGCCCCAAACCTAAAATTTAATACAACATCTATTGTTCCTTTTAAAATTGATTCCGAAGTTCTCCATGTTACATTTATTGAAAAGTTTTCCTGTGCGATCATAATAGAATAAGGGTATAGGTTCTGTTTAGAATAAATGATTTGACATGTCGAATCTATATTTCTGCTATAAAGATCTAAATACGTCAAGATACGCCATTCCTGAGCTAACCAGAGGTGTAAAAAAAAAAATGGACATGGAAGATGAGAAAACGCTACTTGGAAATCGTTGCTACCAATAAGAAAAGAAAAGAGAGCAGGGAGGGAACCAGACAAGCAAAAAATAAACAACAATGTAATATATTAATAAATAATAAGAATGGTAGGGAGAACAGTATACGCCAAACAAAGAGCACTTATTTCTCCCAGTCAGGATCATCTACAATGTTGTATTTCTCTTTCCAAATCCATGAATTTCCAATTTGGCCTTGACCCTGCCTTGCAGCCATTCTATAGTATTGCGCTGCTTTATAAATGTTCTTTTTCACACCATGTCCATGGTGGTAGCAGAATGCTAAATCATTCATAGCATCGCAATCGCCCAATTTGGCAGCAATTTCAAAGTAATAAAATGCAGTTTCTTTGCTTTTCGTAACACCCCAGCCCTGCTGAAATGAGACTCCCAACTCATAGATTGCCATAATCAGTTCACCTTTGGATGCAAGTGCATATTCATCCCCGTGCAAAAGATCATCCACAGCATGCTCAGCTGCTGTTTGTAGATACTGAAACGCAAGCGAAGTATTTAATCTACAGCCCCATCCATGGCGCAGAGATATGCCGTATAAAAACATACCAATTGGACAGCCTTCTTTTGATGCTAATCGAAAGCAATGTGTCGCCTTTTCCAGTTGGCCTAGTTCATGATGTTGAATGCCAGATTGGACATGCTGGTCTATCTGCTGGTCTTTGATGGCTGATCTTGCTATGGAACAAGGTAAAGAGGCTGACGACTAAAGAACCACAGTGGTCAATACAACACAGCATTGGAAAAAAATAGGAGAATGATTTCCTTCTTTCTGTTCTTTTATTACCTGTTGAATAGATTCTTGAGAATACAATTGAGCCCTAAAAATAACAAATTTGTTTTTTTTTTCGTGTGTGTAAATATAACACAGCCAATCCATCCCGCAAGATTAATCAATAGTTACTTGATGGATTTGTCTTCATTAAACAAGGATTGCAATCGCTTGAGCAACATTGGACAGAAGAAGTTTATGTTTTTGTACTGGCAAAAGAAGAGAGAAGGAAAGAAAAAGGTAATGGATCTTTTTTATTTCATTGCATCTGCTATATGATAATTCAAAATGAATGTAATTATATCCAAGCATTAAGGAGAGACAAAGAGATCTAAATCACACATTGGAAAAAGGGGGCCCCGATGAGTGTGATATATATTTCACATTGCCCAATCAAGTGCTGTTACCAAATTTTTACAGCGAATGATGGTTACCTAAAGTCATAGCAAATTTCACAGATTTCCAAGCATTCGCAGTGCAAATAAGAATGGAAGCGTAGTGGTATACATGTAATATAACTTTCAAGTATCTTCCTGACGTTCTTTACCTTCTGAGCTGCTTTTTATAAGCCCGAAACACCCATAAAATGTCGTTTGTGATAAACTTGGTTCTTCCTTCTTCTTTTTTGTTGTTCTTCTACATTCATACCATCTACTGCCTTTTTCCTTGAAGTTTGGAGTGACAAAGAGCCATCTCATCAAATACAATTCTTGTTTTTCACTTTTTTTCGACCCGCTTTAAAATACCATCATTCAAAATAAACTCCAGCCAGCCATGAAGCCAATAATTGCTCCAATACAAGAAGACCTTGTTCATCCTCATGTCAAGAGGTAAACTTTTGAACAGAAAATTGTAAAAAGTAGAAATCCTCATCTGAACCTTTTTTTTTTCGTTAGTGTAACAAGACACCGTAGTCATCTCGTTAAAAGATCAGCCTCAGGAGGTTCTACATTTGCAGCACATACAGAACATACACCTGCATTTAATACTGTACATATAATCGCCGCTGTCATTGGTATTGTTGGTGCTGTTGCCATGGCAGTGACCATATTTCTCATGTGTAAAAGAAAGCGTCATCGTCGCCGTGATTCGCACAACAGGAAAGCATTTACTGCCAGTGCAGCGAACGACATTGAAAGCAATATGACCCAAACAAGCATTGAAAATAGCAATAATTTGAGATTTGGCCAGTTTGCCAGTGATTTTGATAATCATGTTGAACCACCCAAACCAGCAGTGACTCATGTGGAAGACATTAGTCCAATGATGCAACAATACCAATTGCAATTGAAATTGTTACAGCAACAAAAGGCACAGCAACAAGAAAGAAAGCTGATGATTGACCCACATCTAATCGTACCCACAACACTGCATCAAACAGCATCTTCATCACCCAGTTCTTCATCCCCGAATTCATTATTACCACCTCCACCTTACCAGCCTTAAACCTGAATAATGCCCATGAGAACCATAAACAAAAAGCAACAACTCCAACATAACTCCCTGTACATACTTGTCAATAAGCACACATATATCCCAGCTCTTTACTATTCTACTCTCTCTCTTTTTTTTTTTTTTTATTTCGAATTAATATTAATAAATTACATGTATTATTTTCCTACAAGTCTACATAATGTTACATTTGGAATTAGAGCGATTTTGACTCATTCGCAGCAGTTGCTCTTCAGTGTACTTTTTCCCAGTCATTGCTTGCACATCTTCAATGGCTTGCTCACGCTCGTTCTCTCGCTTCTTTTCCTTGATTTCTTGTGGAAAGTAGAGTTTGAGAAAGTTCTGTAAACCTTCGTCTAAATTCAGCGCTGTGGCAGATCTCACGGCGGTAGGATGTCGACACAGAGGACAGCTGTCCATTTTCTTTTTTTGTGCTTTGATCAGACACCGGACGCAAAAGACATGGTTGCAAGCCAATCGGATAGGTCTCCATGCTACAGACATACAAACGGGACATGCTGTGTATACAGGTCAGTACATCATTGCTTCTTAATACAGCTCGAGACCGCTTACCATAATCTTCGGGTTGTGGTATAATGGTGGTTAATTTGGTTGTGATGGTCGAGTACAGCATTTTTGCCAATTTTGGACTGAATAATGCGTCTGTTGATACGATTTCCGGGAAGCTCTGGCTAGCCGTTAATCCACTTCGTTTGTCGTGCTTTTTGAGGATCTTTCGCATTGCCGTTTGGTTCAACATTTGGTAGTGTTTCATGGTAATCAGCTCGGTATTTAACGCCACGAATTGTTCGAAAGCAAATTTGGATTCTTTGGATTTCAACTTGTTGAGCAAGTTGGATTTGCCCAACTGATCCAGAAACCAAGTCATTTGCTTCTTGGCTCTTTCCACTGAGCGAAATGTTCGATCTGATTCTGCGTTTCCCTGAAATATCTGTGCGTCCATGTAAATCGAGAATATCTTGCGCCAATTATACATGTCTGTCTTTTGTGTAGGTGCTGCTACTTTCGTCATCCTTGTCTCCAGATCAGATATGTCATGCTGAAATTTCTGGGTGGTAACATCTTGCAGCATGGCTGCTTGCTGTAATTCTTCCATCAGCATTTTGAAGAATTCATCGTCCTGCTCCAGTTCAACCACCAATGTTTTGATGTGTTTTTCGTGCTTTTCTTGGTCTTCCTCTGTTTCCTGATCTTCCCTTTCGGCGTCCTTGTTTCTGTCCTTTTCCTCCAAAGTCAATGTCAGTAATTCCTTGACCAACGTTACTGTCGAGCTTCTTCTCTGTCTCTTTACAGCCGGAGATTTAATCAAACTACGCTCCTCTTGCTGTTGTTGTTCATGATCATCCAGTGTTGTCTCATCGTGTTGATCCGCACCTTTGTCATTTGCTGAAGCGCCATCATGAGCGGCAGTAACAGCTGGCGACAGAGCGAAAAAATCCTTGTTGTTGTGGCTCCTCTTGAATTCCAATTTGGGCCTTTCTACCTGATCAGATGTTGATGTGGATGAAGACAATAGTTTCTCGAGCACTTTCTGCACCTTTGGCTCTTTTGAATCATAGGTGAATTCAATGTTGGGTTTGACATTAGGAGGCTCGCCTACATCATGGTCGCTCAGTCTCTGTAATCTAGCAATGATACACTCCATGTATCCCAGACTTACCAGTAAAGTAATACTTGATTTTTGGAATACTTTCATCTTCCTCATCATTCAGAGTAGACAATCCACCATCCTCTTCTAAACACTCATGCAGTAGCGAAGTAGACAGACCTCTACTTTCGATTTCCTCGGCAACCTTTGTAATCAGCTTCTTGAGAGCCTTGTATTGGATGAGGTAGGGTCTCCATTCTGAAGGAATACCTTCAGCTTCAGTTTCAAGTTGCTTGCCAAACTTCATTTCAAGATGTTTATTTTCAAGGTATCATTAAATTATAAGAGGATGAAAAAAGCCAAAAGAAAAGTAAAAGAAAGAAAGAGAAAAAAGAAAAAAATTACCAAACTTGACATTTTTCTCTTTTCGGATTCATAAACGAACCCTTTCTACATTGAAAAGTTTTTGAAAAGTGTCTTGAATTGATCAACGGACCATTTACACGGAGTCGATCAGGCGCACAGTCTTTTTCCAGCAGCTAATGAACAGATGAGTCGACTGTATCCATCATGATCATCATGGATTTTACCTTTTGCTCAGCTGTACTCTTGCTACATTTCATTCGAGCAAATTGAATATAAGCCAATTGGTCGTGTGTCCAAGGATCTAAACCAGGTATCTTTGTGGAGTTATTTGGAATTGCTTCCAGGTATTCTATCAAGAGTCCACCATGATCCGCAAAATTGTTGTTGAGCGTTCTCTCGCCATTCACTCCAAACGCATTGTACTGGTCTATTAAACACTGATTCTGAGAATCCAACTGAACAATTGTATCATTTGTCCACCATTGCCCGAAAATTCCCTCGGTGTTGTAGTTCCTTCCTATTGTATCAAATCCATGCTACATGAATAATGCACGTGGGGTCAGACGAGCTGATTTGTATCATATGATTGGGCATTTAAATTTAAACTTACCATGATTTCGTGGCCGATTAGCCATCCAATAGTTCCAATATACAAGTAGTGAGGTCCGTTTGTATCGAAATAGGGCAACTGTAATAGGCCTCCAGGTATGATCACCTTGGGACATTAAAGGCATCAGGTTCCCGGGTTTCGTTTTTTTTTTTTTCCTCTCTTTCTTTTTACCTTGTTCAATTCTCTATTGTATGATATATCCACGCTCTGAGCATTTATCTTCCATGCGTGTTTATCAGTGCTCACTTGACTTAGGGATGCCCATGTTTGTCTCACACGATGCTTGTTATTTCCCATTATATTGCCAAAGAAATCGTCCTTGTCAATCACCACATCTCCAAAGTGCTCAGCCAGCGAAATAACATTGTCGATACTAGGCTCTGCTGTAGAATACCCCACCTCAAATTCGACGTGCTGCAGTTTGGTCATGATTTCATTACGAGTGGCATCATCATCCTTCGGGATCCACTCCAAATAAGGCACACGCTGTTGCAGCATTTGTACAATCATGTGTCCCATGTCTTGGATTTTTGATTTGGCTTGCATAATATGTTGTTGTTGATGATCCTGGAGGAAATAGCGACCCATCAGTAAGCCCATGGCGCTTTGATCAATGAGATCAATGCAAGTATCACGACGCTCTGGCTTTGCTCTAGGCTGGATCCCACTCAATTTAGCATCCAATGTTCTTTTAGGCGTTACGAATTCCTCTCCCATGACATCCAAATACTTCCAAATAGTACGCCAAATCAGATACATTTGCAGGGTGCGTCCATTCGATGATCTCAAAACACTGTTGTAGTTTTCAATGAATGTGGGTGTGGGGATCAGGATGTGATCAGGCACCACTGTGTGGTGCTGGATGAATGATTGCCAGTCAATGCTCGGTACCTCCTCCTGAAGTCGTGCTAAGCTCCATCGCTCGGGATGCTGGACATCAGTGAAGGTTGCTTGTGCCAATCTCTTTTCGAATTCCACAATGCGACGTGCTGTTGCAATCGTGCTCCATGATTTCCATCCAAACTCGTTGTCTGTGTCCTTTCGAAAGATGATATCCAATATCGAAGTAACCGCTTTCATGTAGACTGCCATGGTGTCAGGATCATCGTACAATTCTCGATGAGGCAACCCTATTTGGCCTTGTGACAAGGAGAGACTTGGTTTCGAGGGATGCAGTGTGTCAGGCACAATCTTCATTTCAAACAAGGCCCAAATTTCTCGATCTGATAAGTAAGCCAGCGTCTTGTGCAAACTGTCAGGGTTAACAGGCTGGTCTAATGGTATTAGTTGGCGGATCGTGCGGAATAGTCTGTAGAGCGGTGCTGCTCCTGCTGCTTCAATGGCATCTTGATTCATGCAAGATGCGTAAAAGTCGCTCAGTTTGATGAATAGCTGTCTATCCAGAATGCGATCAGGACTGGGTAGCTCTGTTTCTTCTCCATCGGTGGGGTTGATCTTGCCAAAGTCTCGGCTTAAGATTTGATCTAGTCGATGATGGATGGCGTCTGTTGTCATGGACTGCACGTCAATTCTTGATTTCACGTCAGGTATCAGATGTCTCTGCTCCCATTTATTGCCTAATCAAATGAGTGTGAGTGGCTGATTTGCAGTTGATTTTAAGGAGCACTTTACAAGTATATGCATAAAAGTCATCACAAGGATCCAATTCACGATCCACATCCTATCATTGAGTCAGTCAGCAACAGCAAACAAGCCAAACGAGAGCCACTTGCCTGCAATATATGAGCTGCTGTGATGATACAACTATAGTCCAAACAATAAGACTAGCACACAGGAAAACAAACAAATAAATAATCATGTACAATCTCATAATCCATTTCGTACCTGATTTTGGGTGTGATTCTTGGGTATCTTGGGTGGTAATGGCAGTCTGGACGCCGGATCATCATCGTCCTTTTGGCTGCTTCTTGCATACAATCCCACAAATATAAACAGCAATATCAGCAGTAATGAACACAGGAAGAAGAACAGCTTCTCGAGTGATGTAAAGTGCCCAGGCTGAAGGTGGGGTGGATAATGATACACCCCACTGCCGTAGTCTGTTGTATGTCTATCAGGCTCGTGAAAATCGGCCTGTTGGTCGTAATCTTCTTCCTCTTCCTGTCGTTGCTCTTCTCGAGTCCTTCTTTGGGAGATTAATGGTGCATGAATATCTGACATGAGATATGGGACAAAAAAGCAAGATAACGAAGAAAGGAAAGAGCTGAACAAGCCCGAAACATTAATTCACTAGCCGGGTTAAATACAATTGAAGCAGTGTCTGTAGTAGATTGGTTGCCATGTCAACGCATCATTAACTAGGATAGCAGACATCCCAGCTATTCGATAAGAACCTTAATCGTGAGTACAGATATTGGTTTATTCATCCAATACACTGACAAAAGCCCAATCATGATCATAGTACATTTCACGCGTGTGCACGTCTTCTACATGATACAAGAATTCAAATTTACCGCGCGATAAGAAGCAAAGAGGTATCTCATGTGTAATCTCGTCGTTGGGTGGTATCTCTGGTAGGACCAGTTGAGAAACACCTTGCATTAGAAGCTTCTCTGTGAGGTCATACTCCTTGGCGCCATCATTGTAGCTCTGCACTGGCTGCACGCGAAGTATTAACTTGACAGGACGCACTACATTTATTCAAATGACGATTAGCATAATACAGCAAGCAATGAGTGCCACAAGTGCGCTTACCTTGTCTATTGGCAATCGTGACATTCATATGTACAAAAGAATTCACTCGACATCGAAATTGTCGATGTCCAGTTGTCTCTGCACCCTCTTTTGACATGTCTACAATGAACTCAATATCTTGTTTCTTGAGCACATTCAATTGAAGGCCAGTCAATCGCAACGATGGTCTTAAATTGATGATACCGCCACGACCATTTGATCTACATTGCCAGGTAGCCTTGACGCGAGATAGCAATTGCTCCCTGTACCAGAACATTTGCAGTCGAGCACGTTCTTGCTCAGGTGCCATCTTGGGTGCCTGAGATACGACAAATTGCTTGTTCAGATCAAAGCTTGGGATCGGCTGTAGCCTTTCTTCAGACGTGAGGAACAGCTTCTTTAGCGGCAGCACCATTCTAAGCAGATAGTATTAGTTACAGCGAATCAGAATATACACACATCTCATATGTACCGCTTGGTGAGGGCTGGTTGTATGGTGACCACCGACTTGAGCAAGCTGTTTGCACTCGTATCATCCTTGTCGTTGGAATTATCCACTGTGAATTCTATATCAAATGGTGTGGTCCATGTATTTCTAACATCGAGTGTCAACAAACAGTAAGGGTTCTTGTCATCTTTGTCGTTGGCTTGTTGTGTTATTACGAGCAATTGCTCTACTGGCTGTTCGGCTGATTCCACTTGTCGAATAGTCTGACCTGCTATCTTTTCTTGTGCTTGGTTGACCATAGACTCTGTCACTGACATGTTATCTCGCAAATACAAAACATCCCAATGCAAAGGTTCCAAGTTTTGATACACGGTAATCATGATGGGCAAGTACAGCTGTCTTGTGTACAAGGTGGCGGGCAGATCGTCATTCGCTGCTGACGCTCCTGACATTTTCTCTGATTGATCCTTGATTGCTCTATCCAAGTAGCCGTAATCCACATGAATGGCACCACCCGTACTATTAGTAGCATAACGGAATGAGTTTATCGCTGTCATTCTCTTGGTAGAGAGTCACTTACCATCCCTGCTTGCCGTAAATATTCACAATGATCTCTGTGTGTTCACCTGGAGGCAGATTGATCTTTTTGCCAATTTGATTACTGTCCGCCTTGGAGCCCTCCCAAGAAAAGACAGGTGTTCCCTTGGTGTACAGCTCAATCTCGTACTGTTCCTCGGTTGGTAGTTCTGGATTGATAGGTTTGGGGTGAATCGTAGTAGAATCCGTAAAGGACAAGGTCAGGAAATCCACAGGGATGTTGCCAATATTCTCCACCTGGATAGACAGATGCGTCATTTCTCCCTCAAACAGCATGACTGCACCGTGCAAAAGTGAGGTGGATCTGATCTTTAGCAAAGGCTGATCGTCAATGACATTTAAACTTTCTTGCTGCGTAGCAGCGTCTGCTGTCTCTTTCTCTAAAGGCTTGTGTTCTGTTTCCCAACTGTAAGCAGATACGTCATTGATGCGTTTTTATGGTTTACTTGCCTGGACCTGATCTTTTGGACAGTGCTTGAAGGCCGCTATGCAGGACATGGTTAAACATCACACATATGGCAGATGAGCGTGCGCACTTACGTATACTTGTATCGCTCTGATTCAATTGACTGCTGCACAATGTCTTTGCTGTTCTTTGGCTGTTCTACCTTCTTCACCTCTTGTTTTTCGTTCAAGAATTCTTGCTCTGCAAAACCGGTAATTTTGATGAAGCAGCCACGGATGACCAGAGAGCCAGTTTCCAGAGGTGTACCCATCAGTCTCAAAGCCAGTGTTTCATTTGCAGGAATAGTTGTCGCAGTAGGTATAGCTGAGAACTCAATGCCAGATGTACTGCCCTTATTATTAGACGAAAGCTCAAGTGCATATTGCATTTGCTGATTTACCTTAATACAACGTTACTCAGCTCCAAATCAAATCCAAATGGATTGGCCAAAACCACTTTGAATTCGCACACTTCGTCTTTTATCAAGTTGATTTGAGGCTGCTACTGATTAAGAATTATACTAATTGAAAGCATCATGCATACTCACCTTGTCGTCCTTCTTTTTGGCAAAGGGATTGTAGATGAAAGGGTCACCCGAGCTAGCGCGACCTTCTTTCGATGCAGCCAATGCCTTGGCAATCAAGAGCGGATGTTGGTAGATGGCTTTTCGTGGTATGGGAGGGATAGGCTGAATCGATTTTACAATGTTGAATCCCCAGTAGTTGACATTGTTGTCCACTTGGCCGGACCTTTTACTGATGTTGACTATGCGCTGGATCGAGGAAGCAAGTCGGATTTGCTCATCTTTGGAAATGTGCTGGTAGAGGTTCTTTAAAAGCACTGTAGTATAATAGAGCATAGAGGCATGATCTGCGCAGACACGTCAATCTCGTGATTCCCATCCTTCAGTTACGCCCTATAGATTTACCTTGGATGGCCTCTGAAATAACAATGCATTCTCGTAAAATATCAATCTGTAGTACAGCCCAGCCAAAGCCTACAATATCTGTCTTGATTGCATGATCTGTCTTTTCTTGGTGGCTGTTAAACTTGTTCTGCATCATTTGAAGCGTGCCTCCGTCTTGTACATTACTCTCTGTTGAATGATACGCTGGTTAAACGCCTCCTCCGTCTATCCATTCTGCTGATTTTGCCTTACCACCGATACCGTATATTTCGCATATCCTCTTCAGCACTTCCAAAATGCCGTCATCTCCTTTCTCAGCTTCCTTTTTGTTGGGACCTGAGCTAGCCATTGCGGCTCTACCTTGAATCAGTAGCGGGATCATGCGGTTCAACGTTTCATACATAAACCACGCCGATTTGCGATGATAGCCAATCGTGGACAAGACGGAAGACATTTGAGTCATGACATTGATCTATGGAATGGTGATTGAGCTGCCATGTTCCCTCTCTCCCCCCCACCTATGTCTCTTACTTGATCTATCATTGGCATATCATCCACATCCATAATCCAGATTTTGGTAATCCATTTTGCAATGGAAAATCGAGCGAGCCCGCTTCCCTTGCATTTTATCAAATCAGAAACAGACATAAATCTTCCTTCTCGCTTCAAAATGCTCTCTGATGGTGATGATTGCACTATTTTCGTCAGTAACGTGTCGTTCCATCCGCCGTTCAAAAAGATGATCATTAGAAACCTCGCGATCTTTAAGCAAGCTTCGGCAAAAACGAGTTTAGGGATGGGAATACTGGTGGTTGTGTTGACTTTGACATAGATCTGCAGTAAATCTTCATACATATCAGTGATCTCAGTGACAATAGTAAGCGGCTTTTTGATTTCTTCGTTGGGCGGTGTTGTCGTGGTATTCGTGGGTGTGGGATCTGCAACAGCATCATCTTCATTTGTTAGTGCTTGTCTCGATACAATATGCTATAGAAATGTCAGTATAACCTCTTTTTTTTTCTTTCAACTTTTCTCAACATACACCAGTATCTGCTTGAAGAAATGCTAATAGTATATTTGTGCATGCTAATCCTTCCTTGGCACTAGCGAGCCACAAGTAGTCGTACGAGTTTTGTGCCATAGCAATGGCTTCATGGTAACTGTTGAATCAAAAGTTAATCAATGCTACTGCAGCGCAAAGGGGCATCTGTAAATTACTTACTGCTTGACTGCATCTGGTAGTCTTCCTGCCAATAGATAAAAATCAGCCAGCAGCTTTTTGATACGTCCAGGTGTTCTTTGCAATGTACGGCCAGCGTCACCAGCGACTGTCATGGGCGATCCTGTAAATGTAGTAGATCGAGACAAGGAGGGCTTCGGTGTCGGTGGTGAATTGGCGGATGCAAGGCTCCTGCGAGAATTGGCGGCTGTGGTAGAAGCTCTTTTGAGGAAAGACGAAGATATAGAGGATGTGGGTGTTGGTCCTACAGGCTGGGAGTTTCGATTGGGCTGATGAGGTGAACTGCTGGAAGGTTGAGGCTGAATCATTCTACTGTTGCCATTGCTGGTATCAAAACTTCTTGGTATATATCCAGCAGGAATGGGTGATTCCAAAACCTTTAAGCTCTCAATACGTTCTGCCTATATTCAAAATAGGCTAAGACAATAGTACATGTCAGGTCCAATTAACAGCACTTACGATGGAAGCAAATTGATCCAAAATTTCGCTTGCAAAATCACAAATCATGGTGCTCATATAGAATGACATGTTGCCTACATTGGGAATCATAATGAGTCCCTTGGTATCATCTGGTTGATTTTCGTTTGGATCGAAAGCAAAGCATCTCGTAGCGACTGCCGTTGGATACTATATATTTGCATTTAGCATTCGAATCCGATGATGCACATGCATTTTGGGTGGTGGTACCTGGCTTAACATGTCGACAAACTTTTTATACCCTTCACTTAGGTCTTTGTCCTTCCATTCTTGACAATCCATGATACCAATAACCTATACATGTGTCGGTTTCAGAGGTCCAGCTTTTTTGAAATTCAGGGGCAAAAATAGCACATAGCAACTTACACCAAAGATACGTCTATGTGGCTGAAAATCTTCCAAATGGCAATGATCTCGGTTGTACTTTGTCACAAATTGGAAATGCATTTGTCCTTCTTGAAACACTTGGCTACTGAACTTGGCTATACATGATACACATGAGTTTACTGCATTCCCTGCAGCTTGTCAACATACCATTTGCACCTTTATGGAGGTCAGGCGTAACATCCCCGAGACGAACAAGACTGAATTTTCGGACAAGTTCAACATGATGCCAAAATGTCGACTTTTTGATGGGAGACACAGGGACTAACAGTACGCGTACTCGACATGCTGATGTGATATCGAGGGCGAGGTCCATGGTTTCGAGTGTTTAATTAGTACGAGAGAGAAAAAAAGAGAGGGAGTGGATTATTACAATAAGCTTTAATTCATCAGATTCGAGTGCCGCATATCTTAATTGATTTAGTTCAACACACTACCCACACGTATCTATTGGCCACTCAATGTATAATCAGGGGCGATCAAACACTGCTCCATGCAATATGCGGAATGAGTTTTTTAAATAATGGGACATTATGGCAAGATATTAATTCAACTGCAACATTTATCCCAATATCATACACCAGATTGGAGTCCGCATTCAAGGATCCCATGTAGTATGGATTCATAAACTATGTATCTGTGATACCCCTTCTTTCAATAAATTATTGCATACACGCATGGATCTAATGGATGAAATACCAAAGATACCAAGATTTTGCATGAAAAAAAAAGTTTATATGATTATCAAACCTGATAAAGCTTATTGAGCACTGTATCATAAATGGATTGCAATGTCCACATACAGCTTGATGTGCTGTATCAAGACATTGGGCCAGTTTTTTTTTTTTTATCTCTTGAATGCCTGTAGGCAATAACCGATTACTATATTTGGGAAAAGCTTTGTCTTGGCAGCAACATCTTTTATTTCGTGGTTCCTTTTCTAGGGCTTCCAGAGTTTCAATTACTTTTGCGATGAGGATGGCATTAATCTCGCCTGCTGCCGCCTATCAAATCGATTCATTCTCCGCTCGACATTCTGTCCTGATTTGTGAATTTTTGGACTTTCTGAACACGATTCGACCTATTTTCCAATTTTCAAGCATTTTGGACATAGTTCGACCTATTCTGGCAAACTTTTTGTGAATCTATTCTGCTCATCCTTTAAACGTTTTTGGATCGATCTATTTTGCAATCTATTTTGTATCCTATCATCTTTTGAATATGTCTGACACTAGTCATATACATCATTCTCCCTCTCAACCCGACGCTGAGACCCCTCTGCTGTGGACTCATGTAGTCGGCTCAAAACGCAAAGGCAACAGCAAGAAACAGCAATCCATTGTTTCTTTCAATCCTACGCTCATCCAACGACCAGTTACGGAGGCAGAGGCATCTCAACAGGCCATCAATGGAGAGGCCTCTTCAGGACCTATGGCTGTCATACGTCCATTCCTCAAGGGTATCGAGGAGGATTCGGTTTTCATCGATCTGACACCTGTCAAAGATCGTAATCTATTGAACAAGGCCCTTCTCAAGTTCAATGAAGCTACAACCAACTCTGAACTTTATGAAGACTTTCTTGGTTACCGTAGCAAACCAAGACATTACCTTGGCCATGCTTTTCTCGAGACAATGTGGCTGCCTGAGTGTGTAGGACGCACCACACTCATCAACGACGGCATTACCCTGGAAGATGGTACCTATTTGAGGGGCTTTCCATCCTACCCTGGCGATGCCACCATTGTCAAGTTGACATTACAGAATCTCCCTTTCTTGCCAGCTTTGCAACTCAAGGAGGAAATGGCGACTCGTCTCTCCCGATATGGTGATGTCCTGGATCATGGCATCTCAAGAACTAATGGCATCTTCCAAGGTGAAGGTTATGCTACGCTTAACCTTACTGTGCCTTCCTCCCCTGATTATGCCTGTGATGAATTGCACCCCGAAGACAAGCCCTGCCCTGGTCATCGACACCTGGAGAAACTCAGCCGAGTGATGATCTGGGATCCTCGTTCAGCCGATCAGCGAATGGTTCTGCTGCAATGGGACAAGATGCCCAACTTTTGCCGTATCTGTCATAGTGCCGATCATTGTAGGGCGGATTGCCCTGAGTACAAGAAGTGGATCCAGTGCTACCACTGTGATGAATATGGTCATGTGGAGTACAACTGTCCCCGTAATACAAGTCCAAACAAAGTCCGTGCGGTAGACAGTAAGGCTGCTTCGAAGCCCCGAAAAGTGTCTCAGGAGGCAAAGAGCGGTACATCATCTGGTAAGAAGAAAGCCGCTCCCAAGGTCTCCAAAGCTCCTCCAGTAGCTGCTGGTGCTGGTGCTGGTTCTGGTACTCCTGGTGGTGATACTGCTGGTGGTGGGTCTCCCGGTGGTGGTGATTCTGGTGTTGTTCCAGGTAACAATCAAGGTGATGGCCAAGGTGGTGCCCAAGATGTGGTCCACAGCGGCGTACAAGGTGGTGCTGATAGCCAAACCATTGCTCAAAAGCAAGGTGCTGATAGGGATGCCGACATGGACGAGCTCCCTCTGGCTCAAGACTCTGACAATACCACTGGTACTGAGTCTACTGATACTGAAATGGGTGAATCTCCTGCCAATCCTACTAGTGCATCCGAGAATGCGCTGGATCACCCAGTGAAGAAAATAGGTAAATTTGATGGTGCGGATGATTTTACTTCTGCCAAGCAACAGGCTGCAGTTACAGCAGCAGCACAGGGACAACAACAAGGCTTGACAGGCCCACCCTCACCATCTCAACATTAATATGATGAATTTACAACATACAGTGAAAATTGCCACCCTCAATTGCCGTGGCCTCAAAAAAATAGATAACCCAAAAAAAAGACAACAATTTATTAGATACCTTAGAACACTAGGCTATGATATCTTAGTGTTCCAAGAAACACATGCAACAGACTCCACTATTATAGACATGCTCAATACACAATTCAACACCAAGTCGAGTCTTTGGACTCCACATTGCGGCATTATATCACTTAACACCAATTATACACTTCAACACATCTCAGAAGGCATTGATGGCGGTCGTTTTATTTTGGCCTCCCTTCACCTTACTCGAGATGTACAACTTTTAGCAACAACACCACCAATAGCAACTCTACTCAACATTTACGGTCGAGCGTCAGCTCACACCGAACGCACAGCATTTTATTCAGAATTACTTGATATACCAATTGTCAAGGACACTATCACTAATACAACAAACACTATCTTTATAATGGGCGATTTCAACTATCAATACAAGGATCGGCGAACTGATGGCTCTCTCATCAGTGCACCTGTGATATGGACTGATCTTTTGGATGATTATTACATTGATGTATTTGGGGATGACAAGCACAACACCTGGCATAGTGGCAGAAATGCTGGGATTTTGGATTATATCTTTTGTAGCTCCAATGCTCATCACCTTGTAACTAGTACTAGTCAACAATACCTCTCTCCGGAGTGGACTGATCATGAGCTTTTGGGGTTCTCCTATCAATTTCAAGATTCCAATGGTCGTGGCCCTGGTGTCTGGAAGGCTAATCCCTACTTGGCTCGCAACAAAGATTTTCGCAAGGCACTGGCGGAATTCCTCATTGGCAGTGAGGAACGAAGAGCAGGTATCAAGCGGTTTACATCTCCCCAACAACAATGGGATTGGATCAAAGCAGAGGTCAAGTTATTCATCAAGCAGTATCAAATTGAGGATTTGAACTGGAGGAAGAAACAACTACATCGACTGCTTTCAAAGAGGAACAAGATGATGAGACATAAGAAGCATCGAGGATTGATATTTCAGGGATTGGACTCCATCAACCAGCAAATTCAGTCCCTGCAGCACTCAATTGCAGAAATAGAAATCTTGAAGGCAGGCAAGTTCTATCGTGAACATGGTGAGAAATCACCCGGATTCCTCAAGCGCTCTGCGGTGTCTCGAGAGAACCGTCGGTCCATTGTGGCGCTGCGAGACCCCTCTACGGGTTCAATGTGTCAGGCACAGGATGGCATATCTGCCATTGCAACTGATTTTTACACTGCATTATTCACACCAGAGGCTCTAGATTCAACAGCACTCAGTACCGTGATTCGAAGCATCCCTCAGCACTTAAAGATCAGCAGCGAACAACAGGAGGAACTGATGTTGCCGATTGATGTAGACGAGCTCTTGGCCGACAGCAAACACACTCGACGCCTTAGCAGCCCTGGCCCGGATGGCTTGCCATATGAGATTTTGTACCTGATCATGAAATTCCCACCATTTCATTCACTCATCAACCTAGTCTACAATGAAGCACTGACGAAGGGTAAGTTTCCGCCATCTTGGAACGAATCTGTCATGTGTTTGCTCTACAAGAAGGGTGATCCGGCTGAAATGAAGAACTACCGTCCTCTGTCTCTGGCCAATTCGGATTACAAGCTGTTCACTCGCAACATCAATCGTCGTATCATGGCTGTCTCTTCTCAATTGATTAGTCGCCATCAGCTTGGATTTATTCCTGGACGCTTTATTGCTGAAAATGGCATGATCTGTCAACTGATCATGGAAGATGCTCAAAGGAAATGGACAATTGCGGAACAACAGGATGACGACCCCACCTTTCGCAACTTGGATGCAGATATCGGTCTTTTGTTGGATCAAGAAAAGGCCTACGATCGTGTGAATTTGGACTATCTCAAGAAAGTCTTGACAAAGTTTGGGTTTCCTCGTCCCCTCATCAAGTGCATATACAAACTGATGGGCGACAATCTCATACGGATTAATCTGAATGGCCATATGTCAACAGAGGTTGCCAAGCTGCGTGGACTCAAGCAAGGAGATCCTCTCTCGCCTATCCTGTACAACCTGGCCTTCGAACCCTTTTTACTGGCAATCTTGCATGATCGTCAATTTCACGGATACACGATGGGTACTGCTACTACCAAGTTATTGTGTTATGCGGACGATGCTTTGGTATTTGTCCATGACGCACAGGACCTGTCTCGCTTACAACTTCATATGTCTCGCTATTGTGCTGCTTCCAACGCCAAATTCAACTATGACAAGGTGCAAGCCTTTTCGGTGTCTGGTCGGGATACATGGGACATTTGGCAAGTTCCGTTATCGCATGCCCACATCACCCATCTGCATTCTGTGGAAGATGATGAACCTTTGATATATCTTGGATTTCCTCTCGTACAAAGCAGGATCCAGCGGGTCAACTTTATGGGTGCACTGACAACCAAGATCAAGACGGCCATCCAGATCCACTCTGTCCGATCCCTGTCAGTTGTTGGAAAGGCCACTGTGCTGAATTCTCT